AACTGGCCCAGGTTCGCTGTTTCTCTTGAGGGGGGGTCTTTGAAGTAAGCACAGGTTATCTCTGAAGATGACAGAGAGCCTAGGGGAGGGTGCTAATGATGAGAGACCCCCTTCAAGGCCAGCGGGGAAACGTGTTGCTCGCCCCTTGCTGCCTGCAGGGGCCAAGATGGATGTGAAAGGCAGTGACCTGCCCAGCTCCTGTCAAAGACTGGGAGCCGGGCTTCCTGCAGGAGAGAGCGACGTGAGCACCAGCATTCCTTTCTGCTGTTTCTGCCGTGAATTCTTGGGGGAGGCTAGGAATCTCACTGGAGACAGTTCCACACAACAGGGGTAGGACTGAGAGGGTGCAGAACATAGGCGAGGGCAGGGCATCCATTCTGGGAGTCAGAAAATGTTGTGTTCTCCTGTCAGTTCTGCCACTTACTTACTGTATTATATTTTGCAAGGTACCTGCCCTCCCTCGACCATTCAGTGGATAACCTGTTTACATCCCTCTGACTCCAAAACTCTAAAATAAGGAAGCTTGTAAGTGCTGCTGTTTAGAGGAAAGAGTAGGAGAAAGTATAGCCAGAAATCTTCCCTTGCCTGGTAGGAAGAAGCTGTCCAAAGGTCAACTGGGCTGTCTAGAAATGGAAGTGAGTTCTCTGTCCATGAAGTAATCAAGAAGATGCTGGGTAATTCCTCCTCCAACCTTGAAAAGACCTTGCCAGCCCAATCACATTATATGAATTTCTCTTTTCCCTTCTTTACTGCATCATTTATTTATCAATGTATTCAATTATTTAATGAATATCAACATTTTAGTCATTCAAAACAGTGTTCTATTTCATTTTATTGTGATGAGAACACTTACAAAGAAATTTACTCTCTTTACAAGTTTTTGTGTGTACAGTATTACCGACTCTAGGGAATATTGGTGATACAGGTACAGTGTTGTACAGCTGATCTCTAAAATTCAATCATCTTGCTTAACTGAAACTTTTTTGTTGATCTGTAAGTTGATTAGCAACTTTTTTTCCTCTTCCCATGGCAACTGCTGTTCCACTCTGATTCTATGGGGTTGGCTGTTTTAGAATCATGCAGTGTTTGTCCTTTTGTGACTGCCTTGTTGCACTTAGCATAATGGCCTCAAGATTCATCCGTGCAGTCACATGTGGCAGGATTTCCTTCTTTTTTAAAGACTAAATAATATTCCATGGTATGTATGCACCACATTTAGTTTATCCATTTATCTGTTGATGACGTATAGGTCGTTTCGACACCTTGGCTGTTGTGAATGATGCTGCAGTGACCAGGGGAGTAGGTAATGCAGAAAGATCAATCTCAGCTATAGGAGACCCCCCTCTTAATCTCCCTAGAACAACCTGAAGCCTAGAAGATGCTGATGTTTCTAGAGCCTCTGTGATGTGTTCCACTAACCAGTGAGTGATGTGAAGGGAGGGGTCAGATCTTGTTCGTACCAGCATGACGGAGAGGGTGAAAAGGTTCACGTGTCCAACCCCCAACATCCCTGGGGCTGAGCCGTTGGTGTCACCTGAAGGATTCGTGTTTGCAAGGTAGGGAATGGAAGGGAGAGGGAGTGAGAGAGATTGGGAAGGTGACTGAAGAAACCTGATGAAGGGAGATGGTGAGTGAAGAGGAACTTGAGGTGATGGCGGGAGAGCTTGACTCCACATGGGGTATGTGATGTAAGTCTCTTTCTTCTTCCCCCACAAAATATTCAGTAAAGTCTGCACTGCTCAGCAAAACTCTCTGAAATCGGATTTGCATTTTTAAAAGGTGCAAAAAAGTAAAGAGTTGAGAACAGAGCATCCCTGTAGAATCAGTTACTTTGGGATCACACGTGGGTGTGTGACGGACCTTTTGGCCCAGGGCAAGGCTCTCTTTCTCTTGGGGAGAGCCCCATGTGACACGCACCTTCAGCAAATGACTGTCGAGTGAGCAAAGTCATACAAGGTCTATAAAAACAGGAGGCTTGTGAGTGTATGGGTCCCCCTTCTTCTGCCACCCCCCCCCACCTCCCCAGGAACATAGATGGTTTTAAGATCAACTGAGGCTTTGGGCAAAGGTTCAGCTGGATTTGTTTGTTCCTCTCTCATCTGCTTTTGACTGTTCCTGGTCAGGATAGCAGCCAGCCTGAAACAAACACAAAACTAAATGGGAAAACAGAAGAACAAAATAACAGCTATGCGTTCCTCTAAAGCACTGTCTGGTGCTGAGAGAGCTGACGAGATAAGAGGAAACTGTGTTTACGCCGTAAGAGGGCTTTGTTCACGTAGGAGACTTCTCAGACCGTGAAGGTTGTAGATGCGGAGATAAGCCCCCAACTCCAGCGGTCCAGAGAGGGGCTGCACCGTGCTCTGCTGGGGGACAGGCAGCTAAGAGCACAAGGGGGAAGAATTCCAAAATGATACATGTCGAATTGCTGGCCTGGATTTCAAATGCCATAGATAGTTTATGCAACGTCTCGCACTGTTGTAAAATGTAACACAATCCACTGGCAGATCTGCCTAAGCTCTGTCTCAGTTGTTTTTGAGAAAAATAAATAAACTTGAGAAAGTCTTCCAGCCCATTAAAGTGGTTATGTTTTACCCGTAGTCTCCTCGGTATTAGGCTGCTAGAGATTTGAATAACTGAAGCTAATTGCTGACCAATGAAGGGGTTGATTCTTGGCACCTTTACTCTCCTTAGGAAGTTACCTGTGACATTCAGGAAACTAATGCTGTATTCCCAGGACCCACTGACACCTTGGGGAGGGGTGAGGGGAACTTTGGCAATGAACAAGTTTCAGTGCTTTTCAGTGTTTTTAAAGCAGTGAAACTTTTAAGTGAAACACTGCAAGACAGCTTGATATATAAAACAGATGAATGGAGATGCTCTGGTTGAAACAATGGAGCAGAAATTAAACAGGTCTTCCTACATCCTCACCTCCAGACTCGTACCTCCAAGAAACCCTGGGAATCCATAGTCAGCACCTTGAAAACCTATGACCCAACTCAACATTCAAATGTGAAGGATGAAACAAGGTCCAAAGAGGGGGGATAACTAGTCCACAATTACAGACCAGATTTTGAGGGAGTTTGAACCAGAAGCAGGTCTCTTCATCCAGATCCCCACTGCAGAACTTCCTGGGTGACGATGTGATTCTCCAGAGCTGGTTAACACACTTACCTTCCCCTGTTTGAAGTTTCAAGAAAGAACTGGAGATGTTAATATTAAGGGATGAAGCATATGTGGAACTCTTGGTATTATCTTTGCAACCTTCTAGAAGTATAAAATTGCTCTAAAAAAACTAAGAAGTTGATTTTTAAAAAAAAGCATCGATGCTTGCAATTGTAGATTATGTGTTTTAGCTTGACTTTGATAAATGAATGTGATACATAATTTTTCCATTCCATTCTGAATTCTTCTACACTCATCTGTAGGAATCCCTGGGCATAGTCTTGCTTCGCGTGATTATTATGAGTGACATCATCATGTACTTACCCCCTTATACCTTGTTCTTTTTTTATTCGCTCAGTGTTACGCTGTTGCAGTCTCTCCATGTTGATGAACTCGCAGACAGGGCTTCCACTTTGTTCGGCCAGGGCCCGTACTGAACCATATTATGTATAAATATTGTTAGTGTCATCCCTACATATGAACCTCATTCAGTCCTTTTAATATTCTTTTGCTCCTAGAATCCTGTCATGTGAATATTTCATATTTTATGCATCCCTTCTTCAGCAGGTGAACATATAAACTATCCCCAATCTTATGTTGCTGGATAGTCTTGATCCTTGTATGTATATTTTTCCCTTCCTTTTTTTTTTTTTTGTTTGTTTGTTTTACATCTGTGTGTCTGTTTTATGTGATTGAGATTAGATTATCTCACTTTTTTTTCTCAAAGATGTTATGGCTTTAGGGTTCTCAAGATTGGCCTTACTTTTTCGATGAGTAGCCTGAGACCCACAGATAAGGAGGAACAGGCCAAAATTCCCAGGGAAGATTTGAGAGAGGAGCCACGTTAGAGATCAGAGGGCAGGTGCCGATTTGGGATGAGCTTCTGCAGAAAGTCGGGCCAGTCTCAAGAATGTCTCTGCTGCTCCTCTCCTTCTCCATCCTAGCTTGCTTTCTGTTCTGCAGTTCACAGTCATGTGTGCATCTGTGACTCCTTGATGGATATCCGCACAGGTTGTCACTCTAAGCTCCTGTCTGCTGTCTTGTCCTAGAGTGCTTGGCAAATAGCAGTTACTTGATAAATATTATTTGAATGAATGGTTCAACCAATGGAATGAAACGACATTTAGAAACACAAGGAACTCCCACGTTTGAAGAGTTCTACTTGTCTGTACACGCTTCATGTTTCTTTTAATACCATTTGGTATATCTCTCATTGAGAATCATTGTGCGTGTGTTTGTGTGTGTGTGTTTACACACACATGCTCACATTTGGTGGAGTTGATTTCCTTTAGGAGGAGCAAATCCACATACTGTCTTACTCTTTGCTCTGTCATCCACGCAGCTCTAAGCACCATTTACAGATATGTTCTAAAGTGGCCTACTTGGTATTCAGGAGGTCCAGTGCCTCAAGCCTGCCTTTTCTGCCACTCTCCCCAGGCACTAATGATACCAGGCAGCGCATCACAACGTAATCAGTCTGGGTTTCTGCTTTCCTCTGAGCCTTTGCCTCTGTTCTCTCTGTGCACAGACCCTTCCCTTTATGGCTACTGCATTCTTCCAGACCCAACTCAGATGTCAACTCCTCCAGGACTTGGCCCTGCGAGAATTTCTCTGACCTCTCTACCACCAAAAGCGTATTATCTGCTGTTTCCGTAAATAACACTGAAGGTTTTCTCTCCTACGTTAACATTGGGCTCCTAGAATAGACCCTTGTCTGTTCATCCCTGTTTCTTTCTGTGGTGTCAAGAACAAAATAGGCTAGTAAAGAGTTGCCAAGTTGAATTTGATTCAACCCCTGAGACCCTCTGAAACATGTGTTTTCCTGTGTCTTTTTCCAGGTGTGTCGAACCAAGGTGATAGATCTCAGCGAAGGCATCTCCCAGCACGCCTGGTACCCCTGTACCATCAGCTACCCATACTCCCAGCTGGCTCAGACCACTTTCTGGCTCCGGGTAAGTCAAAGCTTTGAGATCCTTGGACTGTCCAGCAGTGGCCTCTGGGAAGAACTGCCTTCCATGACCCTTTCTCAGGATGATTTTATCTTCCCACTGAGGGTGTTAATTGTAAGGACAGAGAACAAAACACTTAGCAGTGGGATGCTTCCTGGAATGGAATTCCTTAATGGCCTGTGGGACGCGTCCAGTCAGTCTTGTTTAGGCCAAGAGTTTAAGTAACTTTTGTCTGCCTGGAACCACCTAGTCATTGTTCAAGGCCTTTTAAATTGTCTTCTCCTCGAAGTCTTCACTGATCCCCAAAGAGAGAAGTGACTGTCCTTCCCCTTCTAGTCCTGCACGTCTGGTCACCTGTTGGATGGTACTTGCCACACAGTATTGCATAGCTGCCCGTGGGCCCATCTTCCTGACTGTGGACTGTGATTGTGTCAAGTTTTGATCTGTGTGTCACCGACCTGCTTTGAACTCCACAGTCCCCAGAAACACAAGGGCACGTCTTACTTACTTTCGTCTCCTTGGTGCCTGGTACAGAGATTAGCATGGAGAAGTGATGAGTGGTCCTATGTTCCATTGGGGTGTGATTTTAGTGTGTGCCAGACACCTTACACCCATTACTTTACTGGGACCTCCCAGCCATCCTGTGATGAAGCTCTTTATGTATCCAGCACTTGGAGGTGAGGGAACACAGGCCCAGAACATCACGGCCACCCCTCGACATCACAGAGCAGAGCCCAGAGTAGAAGGATTTCTGACCTCTGAACCTGTGCTCTGCACTGCCTCCTGCTTCCCCACGTGGGCCGTGAGAAGTAGTCCGGCTCCTGAGATGGAAGATTCTCCTCCAAACCCCTGCCCTGTGGCTGCTTCCCCAGTGTGTCTGACTGCACTAGCGACCCCACTATGCCGTCTGCATTTCAGGTTTACTTTTCTCAGCCGATGGTTGCTGCCGCTGTCATTGTCCACCTGGTGACCGATGGGACCTATTACGGGGACCAAAAACAGGAAACCATCAGCGTCCAGCTGTTTGATACCAAAGACCAGAGCCACGATCTAGGTGAGCATCTTCCTTCAGGTGAGGTTGCTCTCGGGACCCGCTTCCACGTCTGCCCATGGGCGGTTGTGAGGATCAGTGGAGAAGGAGTTCTTTCCTCCTCCTCCTGGCTTCTCTATTTGCCGTTCTGTCTGCCTTCAAATCAGGATGTGTTTGTGTGTCCAGAGGAGCCTGAATCTGACAGGTATGGGGATAAGTGTTCAAGTTTAAGTCTTCCCTTCAGTAGCTGCCTTCTGCCAGACACCTTTATCCCGATACATCCCATAAGATCATCAAAAAAAAAACCTGGGAAGGAGACTGAGCAAAGGTTGTTTCCCATTGTACGTGTCATTGCCTGCGACCCAAAGCGAGGAGACCCAGGGCACGTGGTGCAGCAGGAAGACAGCAGGGTAGCCAGATTTCAGAATTGTCGCCCACTGCCCTTTGCCTTATAGCCAAGGATGTCCAGGACAGTAAACGAGCTATTACTTGAGACTGTTGTGACCCATGTGCAAGACCGGGCACGAGACCTGGCACTCAGGAAGCCCCATCACCCCCGACCCCACGATTCACATGCAACCTGCCCAGTCTGCCTCTGGGCAGCCAGTCCGGGGGTTTGGAATTCCAGGCCAGCACGGAAGTCCGGGTTTCAAAGCTGTGCCCGCACTGTTCCACAGGGAGCTCATTTCAAAGACCCGAAGGAAGCATGCAGGCAAGGGGTCACTTCAGGGTCAAGCAGAAGCCAAGGGAGCGGGAGGGCTTTTGTTTTGTTTTTATGTTTACTTATTTGGTTAGTTTTCAAGGCAAGGGGGAAACACATTAATTAGGAAGAGAAAGAAAACCCCTCTGGATTTATCTGGATTCCTGGGAAACGTCCCAAAGTGAGAAACAAATATTTTCATAGCTGTCCTGGCCTCGCGAAGGGCTCTAAGGAGAGGTTTTCAGAGGAGTGGGGAGAGGTCGGATTCCAGGGGAAGCTCCTTGATCCCACTACCTAATGCCTGAGGCGTCTGCATGTCCTTCCCTACCTGGTCCCCTGTCCTCTGTCCTCAGCATCGCGGCATCCCTTGCAAGGCTCTGCAGCTCTAAGACAGTGGACCACAGAAGGGGACCTGCCAGGCTCAGAGCCTCGCATCCCGACAGATCAGGCCTCCTAGGACCTGGCTAGGATTCGCCCGTTTTTAGATGCAGACACTGAGTTTAAGGGGGTTGCTGAAGCCACGTGATAAAGAAGCAGCTAGACCAAGAACTGAATGACTGATGTCCATGGAACTCCGAAGCCAGCTTCCGTTTCACCAGCTCCATCCCACCCCATCATCCCTGCCCTCTCCTTCTGGATGTACCTTTTCCCTCTGCCCCTCTCCCTTCCCTCTTCCTTTTCAAAGCCTGGGGACCTGTTTCCTCTTCTAGAAAGAACTGAGGGCTTCTGAGTGAAGCAAGTTTGGGTTCTGCTTGGTCTTTATATGGCTCGCTTCTCTGTGTCCCTCTGGAAAGCCGCCTCCTGGTCACGGTTCTCAGTCTCCTTTGTGTAGAATGAGTGCAGAGGTCCTTACCTCACAGGGCTGCTCCCAGGTTCCCAGATCGAAAATGGGAGCAGGCTTTTTACCACAGGAATGGCCTATTTCTGTGAATTATTGCCATCATCTTTATGACTGACCAGGAAGGCAACTAGCAACTCAGACCATCAAGCCCTAATGCACTGTGGGAGGGAAGTGAGGGCCAGTGACGCTTGGCCGAGGGGTGGCTGTTTGGGGGAGGGAGAGGGGCTGTGGGCCCTGGGTGACGGGAAAGCTTAGGGGGCAGTGAGGCAAGGGGATTGGAAAGATTTGGAAGCAAGAGAAAAAGGCAGACAATGAAACTTTCAATCAAACTCAAAATCCCCACCGGCCACCCAATGGTGCTTTTGTGCAGTGACATGAAAGGGTCTGGGGGCTTCGGGAAGGGCCCGTTGGGGAGGGCGTGACTGGCCTTGAGTAATGAGCCTGGCCCCTCGGCCCTCTGTCTCCCCTGACAGGCCTCCATGTCCTGAGCTGCAGGAACAATCCCCTGATTATCCCTGTGGTCCATGACCTCAGCCAGCCCTTCTACCACAGCCAGGCGGTCCGTGTGAGCTTCAGTTCACCCTTGGTCGCCATCTCGGGGGTGGCCCTCCGCTCCTTCGACAACTTTGACCCCGTCACCCTGAGCAGCTGCCAGAGAGGGGAGACCTACAGCTCTGCCGAGCAGAGGTAAGGCACCCGGGTCTGCTCGCCCCGGGGCTGTTCTGTCGCCAAGGGGAGATGGAGGGACTCTGGACCTGGGTAGCCACGTGTGTTGCTGGAAAAAGTCTGTGTGTTTCTCCCTTCTCTGGCCTCTGGCCTCTGGCCGGCTCTGCCTTTGGGCTTGGGAGGCCCACACATCTCTGAATGCCAGGGGTGGGGGGAAGCAGGTTAAGTGCTGTGGAAGTCAGACTCCTTCACCTGGCTCGCAGTCCTGGAGCTGACGGTGGCTGATAGGATAACCCTGGGAACACCGCTTTCCCTCTCTGGGCCTCAGCATCCTCATGTGAACAGAGAGGAGAGGTGGTTTAGTTCTCTTGCAGCTCTGAAATCCTGGGAGTTTCTGCTTCCTCAGTAGCCCAGGCAAGACATAGAACCTTCCTGAGTTTAAAGGGTGATGGTGGGGCAGAGGGAGTGGGGTGTGAGGATACTTCTGTTTGCTTCATCCCAGTTCACTGTGTATTCCAGGGATGGGTAAACCTCTATGTCTTCCCCAAACCTAGCTCCTGAGATCCCCCCGTGGTCTGGGTCTCTGTCTTGTAACTGCATAGCATCGCTCCATCAGCGCCTTTGATCTGGCAGCTGTTAATGCACCTGGTTCTCAGCTCAGAGAGGATGCCGTTTCCTAGAAAGACTGTGCAGTTTAATGATACTCTTACTGGGGTTTGAATCTGCCCCTTCCTGATCGTGTGTTCTTAGACAAGTCACTTCACTTTTCTGAGTCTCAGTTTTCTATTTTGGGATAAATGGGTGATAATATCTACAGCATAAAGTGGTTATGAGGATTCAGTGGTGTGCTGCAGATGAAAATGCCCCTCCAAATGGTTAGGGACCGTGCAAAAATGATGCATTGATAAAGAGTATTTATCGCCACTTTCTAATGTGATAGTGGTGCTTTTCTGCACAGAATTCTGCATAAAGTTCTCATAGAGCTGGAAGAAGTCTCAGAGATGAACTAGTACTTCCATAGTGTCCAAACTTCCATGTTAACCCTCTGGATTTCCAAAGGAGGAAGGACTGGTCCAGGATCACACAGCAACTCTCACGTTGGTTTAATGAGATCTGGGAGAAAGAAAGAGTTGGGGTCTCATTGGGCTCCCCCAGAGGGCAGCCCTCTGAAAGGCAGTTCAGCCCTGCCCTGTATACCTGGGAGCAGGAGAGGAGAGAGGAGTGGGGAGGGGGACACCCGCCTTTCCCACGCCCCTGCTACCACAGAGGACACAAAATGTGGTTGCAAAACTCACATTGTTTTGCACCCACTGTCTCTAGCTTCTGTTGTGCAAAGTCTGTCGCAATCATTCGGAGGCAAAAGAGCTCCTTAAATATCCCTCATTGTTGTACTTCACCCTGAGAGGGCTTTTTCATCCCTGGCTCTCCAGACTATAAAAATAAGTTAATTCTCAGAACCCAGGGAAACAATGTCGATGGACGCAAATCCGTCAGACCTCCTCTGCAATGCTTTCCCATCCTTAACCAGCCACCGAGACCATCCCCAAGTTGACTGCGGCCAGCACTGGCTTCTTTGAATCCTTAATTAGCAGTTCCTGTGTCCGAAGTAAACAGGGAGAAGTGTTTAACCTTGGAAACATGTCAATCAATAAGTATTTGTGAGTTCTTCAACCTGTACTGGAAAAACACTGGACAGGGGCAGAACGTTGCCCCATGTCTGACTGGCTGTGGGACCGGGATCCGGGCCCTCCTCCTCTTTGGGCTTCAGTTTCCCCTGAAAGGATGATGGTGATGGGGTGAGGTTCTCTGTGGTTCCTTCCAGGTGGGACAGTCTGTGACTCCCAGGAGCTAGGAGAAGGGAGAGGGGAGAGGAAGGGGCCAACATCGATTTCATTCTCTTACGTCATCATCACACCTGTCCTGGGAGGGATGGGTGGAATGAGTGAGGCAAGGCCATCCAGACAGTAGGACTAAAATCCCACTTTGTCTGCCCCTGAAAGCCACACTCTGCCCAGCAGGACTAGGTATATATCCAGGAGAGAAGAAGACTTTTCACCGCTGCTCCCTTGTCAGCATTTCGCCAGGGAGACTGAGCCAAGTGAGGGAGATGCAGCTCCGAGGGCCAGCCGGCCAGCTGTCTTGGCCCTGAGCTCTGACAGGCCACCCCCCCACCCCACCCCTCCTGAGTGCCTGGAGGGGAGGGAGGGGCCGACGGCAGCTGCTCCTGGGGCGCTGAAGAGGTGTTTACCCAAACAGACAGGACTGTGCAAACGTGCAAATGCATTAAAACAAACAAACCAGGAGGAGAGAAAAGAAAAAATAAGCAACAAGTGTAAAAGCCACGGGATGTTTTCCTTCCTTCTCCAAGCAGCAGGGTAAAGAGCGGCACTGTTTCTAGCACAGCTTTCAGCTCGCTCAGGTAGAGCCAGCTTGCTTCACTCTCAGCTGCTTCCCAGGTAGGGAAGGGCTGCTTCCCCGTCCCCCTCCCTCCCCTCCGCTCCCCTCCTCTCCCCGCTTCCGAAGCCCCCTCCCTGCCTCCTCCCCCTCCACTCTCTCCTCCTGGCTTTCCCCCCTCCCTCTCCTCCGTCTCCTCCCCTCCCTCTTCTCTTTCCCCTTTTCCCTCTTCATTTTCTTTCTCTTCTGAGAGCAGCATGATAGCCAGTGAGCTGTCATGGGAGAAGTGTCACTACAGCAAAATCCATCCAGGCAGGTGTGTTCTGACCTAGATTCAAGGGTCTCCATCCCTTGCGGTACTTGGAATAAATTCAGAGGCCCAGGGAAACCGGACTGGGTTTCAGATGAGAGGTCCAGTTGTAGAATTCTAGCCAAATTCCAGCTCTACACCAGATTGGGGGAAGGAGGAAAGATGGGGGACCCTAGTGATGATGGTGAGGGAAGTTATGAGGCATCTTCAGTGAGTTAAAAGGGACAGTCCTGAATTGAGACCCCAGTGTGTCACACACACACACACACCAGCCTCTGTCTGTCCTATGGTTCTCAACAGAGATTGAACAGTTTATTATAAAATTCCACAGGCGATTGTTTAGAGAACTGACTTACTTCCCTTCCTCCCTCCCTCCCTCCTTCCTTCCTTACTTTCCTTTTCCTTCCTTCCTTCCTCCCTTACCCTTTTCTTTTTTGCATTCTTTTTCTTCCTCTACCCCAAACTCTTCCCGCTTTTCATGCCAGCACATCCAGAGAGAGGCAGTTCTGATGGACAGCTAACTTTTAGAAGGTCAATCTTAGGGGAAAATAAATTCCTCGTGGGACTAGATTAACTCTTTCCAGCCAGGGTGGACTTAGACTGTAGCTGTTACTGTGGTGGCAGTGGGGGTAGGGGGTGCCAACAGGCTGGAGCCAAGGTTCCTAGAGTCTGTGCACTGTAGGAGCCCCCATGTGGACTGTCCCATCAGATAACTGTATAGGAATCTATATATAAGATTTGGAGCCCAGAAGGGGGCTTCTCATGGCCAGAGACTGCAGGCTTCAGATTACTGTCCACAGGCTCACCCAATGTCCCCAGCCCACGAAGGGATCAGCACCTCTCAGACATGTGTCAGGGGTCGCTGGCCTGGGGGACACACCTGCAAATGGAACTTCTGTGCCCGAGCATGTGTGCGTCTTCAGCTGTACAGACATCACCCAGCTCGTCTCCAAAATGCTGTCCGACTCACACTCCCAGAAGCGGTGTATCAGAACTCCAGTTGTTCCTGGTCCTTGTCAATACGTGGGATTATCAAAGTCTATGTCTTCCCATCCCAACTAGCTCTGAAATTACATGTCCCTGTGGTTTTGTCCTCAGAAAACCTGATCCCTAAAAGCTGGGAGGCTCTGAGAGATTCTTTAGTTCTGCACCCTCGTTTGAGGATGGGAAGCCCAAGGTCGAGGCAAGGAAAGTGTGTTTCCCCAAGTGGCCGAGCAGGTTAGGATGCAGAGCCCGGCGGCATGGGAATCCAGTCCTCAGGACTTGCAGGACAACGCTCTTCCCTCCTCATCAGAGCTGTCAAAACAGCTGTCCCGTGGGTCGGACTAGGCCACAAACAACTTGTGTTTGGCCCTCACTGGATGTCTTCTTTAATTAGTAGCAATATTTAACTGTCGGAAGAGTAAATGTTAAGGACTAGAATTCTTCCTCCTCTTAAACACATCGAAGATGGGACACACCAGGCCCTCAGTCCCTCTAGGCAACGTGGGACTGGATGGGAGGGCGGCCACTGCTCTGGCCACAGGGTGTCTCCCACTGGCCACACCCCACTCAGCTCACCTGGCCATTCAGATGGTCGGCCCTGCCGGACCCTGCAGCCTCGGACATGGTGTCCCGGTGCTGCACTCACTGTGTCACCAGCTCCCTTCTAGATTTCCAGGGTAGAAGAGCCTTTGAGGACCTCTCCCCACAGTAGCCTCCTCTTGGGCAGAAAAGCCAGTCCTTACTTGATAATTCTTTCTGTCTCACTTCTCAGGTGATCCCACAGCATCTGTCCCTTCCCTCATTGGGATCAGCCACTTTCCTATCTTCTGAGAAGTGTCTTCTTTTTTTTTCCCTTCTTTTGTTATTTGTATTGACAGCCCATCACTGGTATGAAGTCCTCCCCCATTGCCCCCGCTTTTTTCCCTAATGAAGCCAGAGGCTTTTCTTTGTTTCATTTTCCTTGTTATGATGATTGTTTTTGTGTTTCAGAAATGACAGAGCTGTGTCAGGGAGTCATTGGGGAGGGGCAGTTGGGATAGTGTTTATCATTTTTTTGGACAATGTGTTCACACAACCCTTTCCAACTAACAGGACAGCAAAGGGAAAAAGCAGGGACTTCAGGGACAGACAGGCAGAGCCGCACTGGAATTCTGTCCGCAGTGACTTGGGGCAAGCAGTTTGAACTTGTTTAGTCTCAGTCTCCTCTTCTCGAAAATGGGAGTAATGCTACTACCCCAAGGAGTTACAGTGAGGATGCAGATAAGATGATGTGGTGAAACATGGCAGCCGATACCGGTACATGCTGCTTCCTCTCCCTCTTTTCCTTCCTGTGTTCAAGTATGTAGGCCAAGTGCAGACAGATGTGCTGAAAAGCCAGGGATGCCACATGCACCCAGGTGTGTTCGGGACGACACTAGTCCTAAGCAGTGTCCCACAAAGGAAGGTTATCAGAGTTTGCCCCGTAGTCCCTTCTAGAAATCCACAGTGTGCATTAAGAACATTCAAGGTTCTGAGAAGTCCTGCAGTGAAGACCGCTGACTGGTCTCACTGAGCCAGCGCTACCCCTCCCCATCTGAGCATAGCCCCTCTTGGTCAGGGAACCCATATGACCCGGGAATGTTTTCCTTCTAGAGTAGAAAGAGCCAGAGGAGAGCAACCACCTTCTCATGGAGCTTCATATTTTCCAAAGCATTTCTATGCATTCACCTTCCTGTTCTACAAACATGCCGTGCTCCAGGCTGGGCTGGACTTTCTCGTGTGGCCTTCACTCTGCCTGAAATTCCTTCGGCCCCAAACCTTTGTGTGGCTGAGCCTGTCAGTCCCTCCAGGTCTTAGTCCAGATGTGCCCCTTCAAGGAGGCTTCCCTGAGTGTCCTGCCCTCCCCCCAGCAGTAACCCTCCATAATTTCACCTGGTTTTGGTGCCCTGGCTGCGTGCCTATCTGAAACCAGCGTATTTATTACTTTTCTTTGGCACATGTGCCCCCTCCTCAGATATACAGGGTGACAGGCATCTTCCCCTGTCTACCCAGTGTTTATTTAGACAGTGTCTTGTACGCAGCAAGACCCCCCCAGGCAATTGTGATAAATAGAAGAACATGACATGACAATCTCGAGAGAGAAATCATCTTATTGCCTCCACTTTACAGAGGAGGAAACTGAGGCTCAAGGTGTCACATGCCCTTCCAAGATCAAACATCTGATAAATGGCAGGGCTGGGGCTGGACCCCAGATCTGCCCTCTTGCTAAGCCCTGTGTTGTTTCCTTTCTAAGGAAACCAGGTTTTTCAGTTTATCTTTTTCTGACAAAGAACGTTAATGAACATGGAAGAAAGGAGGGCACACTGATTTTACCTCAATGGCCCCACAGCCAAGAGAAGCCAGGAGCCCTTGTCTTTCAAAAAGGGCTTCTAGAGCCCCCGGCTGTCTTAAGACGACATCCCAGGGTCCCCGCCACTCCAGGAGTGCAGGGCGAGAACAGCCAAACTGTAAGGCACAGGTCAGGAGACCAGCTTGGAAGCTGGTAGCCGACAGAGTAAATCTATCTAAATTGGAACCACGTGGCTCTTCCCCCAGCACTCACAGGACGTGAACAGATGCATTGTTCAGTGTCAGAGACCTCGCGTTGGCGCCGCGTGGCGCATCGCGGGGGCTGTCAGGAGCAGGAGGCAGGACGGAGAATCAGAACCCGCAGCGAGTGACGCTTCATCCCGCTCACCTGCCCTTCTGCAGCGGGGCGGGGATGTGGAGACTGCGAAGCCCGCCTCAGTGCTGGGCTGAGACCTGAACCAAACCCTTGCCCTTGTCCGGGTGCTTAAAAAAAATGAATGTGCGTGTGATGTTTTGGGGATTTTAGCTCCTCGCCTCCTCCCTTATCCCACTTTAATTCTCACCATACTTTTGAACAGGGGGTAGGGAGTGGGGAAGAATAACCACGTTCCTATACAAGCCTCGGCGGGGCATCCTGCAACTGGCACCAAGAGAAAAATTGGGAATTTCTTAAGTTGGTTTGACCGCCCGCTGCTCCCTGTGTCCTCGATAGAAAAAAACACAAAAACCAAAGCCTTGGGGCTGTGGATGGCAACCTAGCACGTACCCCATGCCAGGTATTGGGGTAGATAAGAGTTTCTCTGACAAAAGTCAGAGAAAACTGCCTCCTAGATGCTGTCAGTGTTCGAAATCAACGTCTCAGCCTCTGGAGAGCGCCTGAGAGTTATTGTAGGACACTGCCACTGTTGGTTTCCTGCCGCTTGGGAAATAGCTGTCATACGAGAGGCATCTTTACTGGCAGTGCCAAGTACACCGAGGTGAAACAGGCACTCTCTCTACCCTCAGGGAAGTTGTAGTCCAGGTGCGGGGTGAGGGTAGCAACAGAGACTTTGGAGTCACACATCTGGATGGAACTTAAACAAGTAACTTGATCTCGCTGGTCCCCGACTTTTCCAACTGTAAAATGAGTAACACTTAGCTCATGAGGGTTGTCCTCGTGAGGATGGGTGAGCTCATGTGTATAAGCAGTCGGTGAATAGTCACTACTGTTACTAAGCGTCTGCGTGACAGGAATATGAGGGGAAAGATCATCTAAGCACCAGGGTTTTATGTGCTTTCCGTTTCCGTAAGGGTTAGCACACATTCCGCACGTGGCGGGCACCCAGGACCTGTGCTTTCACTGCATGAAGCAAGAGGCCACAGCATTAGAGAAAGGAGGGCCCAGGGCTGCGTGCCTGAGGACACGGGAAACCTCCTGTAGAGACGTACACGTAGCTCTGAGCTGAAGAATGGGTAGAATTCAAATTGCAGGGAGATTGGAAGAGCAGCTGCAGCGAAGTGCAAGGCATGACCTCTGCACAATTTTACTAACAATCCTGAAGTCCGCTTTACAGTTTCTACAAGACTTCTACATTCAGCGCCTCAGCTGACCCTCATGGCCCCGTGGGCTGGCTGAATTTGAGAGTACACTGAAGCTCAGAGAGGTGGTGTGCCCTGCCCAAATTCAGACAGCTTCTAGGTAATAGCGCATGGATTTACTCATGACATTAGCTACCATTGATCGAGTGCTTCTGTGTGCGAGGGATTCTGCTCTGTGCTTTTCCTGAACTATCTGATTTAATTCTCACAATGCCCCTCGGAAGTGAGTGCTGTTATAAAATATGGAGAGGCTTTCATTCAACTCAGTGCCTGGGATACAAGCCTTGATGAATACTTGCTGTAATTATAGTGATCCCCATTTTGCAGATGGGAAGACTGAGGTTCTGCAAGGTTTAATGGTTGATAACAAAATTTTCAAGCTGTAGGATTTGAGCCCTGGTTTGTCTGTTTCCATAAATGGTGCTCTTGATGATAAACTTTGACCACTGCCTCCAGAGTCTTGTTCACCCTGTCTCTCTCCAGTCTCAGCCTCCTGAAATTCTGGAGAGGAAGGCCACCAGCCTTCATCTTCCAGCTGGAGTGCTGGGGTGCTGCAAGAAAGCACCCTCTCACCCTCTTGCTTCTTTCCTCTCCAGCTGTGTGCACTTTGCATGTGAGGCCACTGACTGCCCGAAGCTGGCCGTGGAGAATGCTTCTCTCAACTGCTCCAGCAGTGACCACTACCACGGCGCCCAGTGCACTGTGCGCTGCCGGACAGGCTACGTGCTCCAGATACAGCGGGATGACGAGCTGATCAAGAGCCAGGTATGTGCAGGTGCTGGGTGCAGAGTCCCTCTCCAGCTCAGCATAGGCTGACCGGGTGCTGAACACGTTCTCTGCTGAGTCCTCAGCTCTTAAAATGCTGCTGCCATGTAGTAGGTGCTCACTAAACACGTGTGGCTTGGATGAACGAATCAACCAGTCTGGGGATTCTGAGCCAGTCCTTCCTGGGCAGAATAGTGTTCTGCACAACACGTACCAGAGTCCTTGCGTAGGCTGCTGCAAGTCTGGACAACCTGGGGCCGAGCGTGAACTTGAGACTGAAACCCTCTCAGTCAGAACTCTGCCAAAATTGGATGGGCTGCTTTAGGAAGCAGTGAGCCCTCTGTCAGTGAGGTGTTCATTCATTCATTCATTGTGAAACATCTGTGCCCTGAGAACCAGACTCTGTACTAGGTGCTGGAGAAGAAAAATTCACTAAGATAAATCTGGTTCCTCCTCTCAAGGAGCTTAGTGACTAGTGACTGGGGGGCAGATGATGAGTGAGCGATACACACTGTAAAGGGAAGTGCAGGGTACCATGGAAGCACAGGGGTTTCAAGGAAAGGCCTTGGAAGAAGCAACGTGAAAACTGAGAACTAGAGACACAAGCAGAGGGGCACGTGCTGGGGTGAGGGGAGAAGTGTGGGCTCTGGGCGCAGGCAGGAGAGGCACGCGGATGCCCGGTGGTGAGAAGGAGCAGGCTCCAGACTGATGTTTGTTTTTCTAAACTCACCCAAGCAGTGAGGCTGGAGGGCCAGCGAGGTGCACGGGCGCGAGGCCCTGTGGGCTTGGTCAGAAAGGTTGAGATTTGTCTTTGGGGCAACAGAGAGCTGTTGAAGAGTGTGACGTGGTCGGACCATGGTTGATAAAGGTCCTTCCAGCTGCCCACTTGGTGCAGCGTGGACCTGGCAGAAGACGGGCCATGGGGAGAGCCCTCAGAAGAGCGTGTGGAGGAGGGACGAGGGTAGTGGCAGCGAGTGGACTTGAGACGTGGCAGAATGCTGCTTCAGCCAGACGTGGCTGTGGGGTCTCCCGTGGGTGCGGGGAGTGGCAGTCCGTGAAGCCCCGAGATCTGGGGATTCCAGACACAGCTTTTTGTAGGGCCCCGCCCTCGGACTCCACCCTCGTGCTCCAGGTACACGGGACACGTTCCATGTTGCAGGGAACACCTATTTATACAGAGCTTCTGGGCTTAAAAAGAGCCCCAGTGAGGAGCTCTGGGGCCCTCAGTTGCTTGTCTTAGAACCTGCTTCCGTGTGTCAGACACGGCAGGTCTCAACTCCTGTGGAAACAATTAGCTGTCTTCGGCAGCGAGGGACTTCTTCCCCCTTTGATGCGTGCTTTAGAGGGGAGAAGTGTCCTTTGCTTTTAAAATCCCAGATCAACATTTGGCATCCCCAGCCCCCTGGGATTTGGCGGCTTTCTCCCTGAATGGAAGCCTGCGGGCTCTGAATGCCTGGCCCTCCCTTGGCTCTGTGGCTTGGCCTCACCCTTCCACCCGCACAGCCCTGCCGTCTTCTAGTTTGGTTCAAGTCTCTGTCCACCCTTTTGTTGTCGCAGCCTCATTCCTTCTTCATGTCGACCTCTCCCAGCTACTGAACCATCACTTCTCAAGAGGAGGGAGTGGCTCCATAGGTTCAGTGCTAAAGGGTCAGCTCGAATAAGGAAGGGGACTTGCCCACGATCTCATAGCACAGAGGACAAAATCCAGTTCTCCAGTCTTCCCAGGTGATGCCCACCCTGTGCCAGACACTAGGAGGCACTGGGAAGATCCCCATCATCTCTTCCAGGGCCAAGAAAAGATACAGAGATCAACAGCCACTGCCCCATGCTTGTGCCATGTTTCAGAGGTGGTCACCTAAAAGAAGTCATAGGTCCCAAGAAGTCTGAGTCTTAAGATTCTCACCAACACAGTGAAAGTCATGATCTGGGAGACTCTCCAGACAGCAGTGAAGAGCCTAGCTCACTTGGGCTCAGTTCCCACATATCCTCTTTCCAGCTGTGTATCTTAGAGCTGCATCTGTGAAATGGGAACTGAAGTACTGACTTCAAGTAGTTGTTGGGATCAGGGAGAGTGAGCTGGAGTTAGACTCTAAGCACTGATCTAAGACCCCGTGCCGCAGCCTGGGGGAGGGCGTTTCCGCACACCGGGGACCCAGTCCGCCGCTCCTCACTGCGCCTGCCTCCGCCTTTCAGACAGGACCCAGTGTCACAGTCACCTGCACGGAGGGCAAGTGGAACAAGCAGGTGGCATGTGAGCCGGTGGACTGTGGCGTCCCGGACCAGCACCACGTCTACGCTGCCTCGTTCTCCTGCCTCGAGGGCACCACCTTTGGCAGCAAATGCTCGTTCCAGTGCCGTCACCCAGCGCAGTTGAAAGGTACTGTTTTTTCCGGGGGAAACCCAGAGGCTGCTCCCAGGTCCTTCTGGGTCTCAACCACCAAGGGTTGGACAAGGCTTTATCCTTGCTTCTTTTTTTTTTTAATTTTTTAGGTATTTTCTTCCACAATTTGGCTTTTCACATTAAGTTCTTTTTTCTTCTTCTTTTGGGGTGGAGGGAGGTAATTAGTTATCCTTGCTTCTGATTCCACCAATACTGTGTATGCCAACCGCCTTGCTGTGCCGCTGAGGAGAAAGAAGGGTGTGGATAAATATGACAGCCACTCTTTCAAATCTTGCAAAAAAAGGACAGAAAAGGGAGAAGAAAGAAGGGAGGGAGCGTAGAGGGAAGAAATCGACTCTAAGAAAGTAACATTTGGAACTGATGGGTCTAGTTCACTGGGTAGGATGAGGGCTTGGTAAGCCTAAGAGCTTTTATTCTTCTCATTTTCATAGAAGAGGAGATCAAGGCTCAGAGAGTAGAAAGAACATGGCCCAAGGCCACGCTGCTAGTGCTGGATTCCACCACGGGGCCCAGGTCTTTCTCCAAAGCCAACTGCTGCTCGCTAGGAAGTGCTAGCTGAGAGAGGCGTGGTTCTGGACGGACAGTTCACTGGGACCCCCTGGGCTGGGTACTGGGGGCGTTAAGGTGAGTGAGTCAGTCTGGCAAACTGGAGAAGCAGACTCATTTTGGAGACGAGTGAGAGGCTGGCCTGGGTGACCTAGGCTGCCAGACCTAGAAGGGTCCTTAGAGCTCATCAGGAATGACTGACTGTTGGGAAGATGGTGAGATCGAGGACCGGTGAGAGGAAGGAGGGGGCTTGTACAGAGTTGCAGAGCAAGCTAGCGGCATCATCAGAACGAATGCCTTGGTTTCCAGTTGAGTATTGGATTTTGACATTGTATCCAACTCACAGAGGGGCCAGGACCCTCTCCTTTGCTTGGTTTATCAGAGGAGACATTGCCCCTTTATCAGATACCCAAAACCATATGTCACTCAAGCATGAGTCCTACCTTGGCGTCCACTCATTTCCACTCTATAGGACTTCTTTGGGGCATGGGGGGTTTTGGAGGGAATTTGCAAATTCCCTGAAACTTAGATGTCCTATTACAGGTTCATGAGTTTTAGGCATTTAGATGATTAGAGAGAGTCAATAGTGTCCCCAGATTTTCAAGGGGATACAGAACTTCAAAAGATTATCACACATGGTACTATTCAGTAAAGTGTATTGACTGGGTGGCTGGATAAAAATTGATGAAAGTCATACCACAGGAAATGTTTCTTTTAAGAAATGAATGAAGGACCCAGCAAGGTCATAAACTGCCCCAAAAGAAAAGCAGGGCACATCTTCTGGGATACATCCCTAAGATCCTCTCATTTTTCACCCAAGAAGATTGAAATATAAAATTGTAGACATTTTATTTGAGCCTCTGTAAAGTTTTAGATCAGAGTGACGTGAAGACACCAGTGGAAATTGTAAACCCTTCATCTTTCAGGTTATCACCCTTGGCCTCATTTGCCCAGACGTGGGGTGTATTAATAACTCCAGACTAGCAAAGCACACTTGTGCTCTCAATCAGAGGCCCTTGGGAAAGGGAGGTGTATAAATCAGCATTGATTATCAGAGCCCTCATTCAGCTAGTAACAGTCCTTAATCAGAGTGACTCAGGCCCTTCTGCCGCTGCTCCTCTGTTGACTGCTGGAGGGGAGACATGGCCCCAGGAGGACCATCATTTTGATAGTTGTTGATCCCAACTTTGCTCTTCTCTTGAGAATACAGGCAAGCATCTCTCCAGTGGCCACTCTGACCCACCAGGTATTGGCATATCATGCCCCTTGGTTCTAAGCATCATCCGATGCTCAAATTCCAGGTCTGATGCTTCAGCTTGGGTCTGCTGGCAGCAAAGATGGGACATAGGTCCTGCTGTCTCTCACTTGAGCATCTTAATCATGCCTCCCTTCTTAAATCAGAAGATAAAGATCAAAACAAAATTTCCCCCCATTTTTTGTTTGCTTCCCTGTCCTGCCTTTGTTTTTCCTTTCCCTGTAGCATGATTTCAGCAAAAGGAATGCGAGCTTTCGCCAGACAGTCTGGGATTCCACTCCTGGGTCTGCCCCAACTGTTTGATCTTAGGAGGGTAGTTTCATGTCTCTGAGCCCCAGTGCTCTTACTTGTAAAATGGGTGTAAGAGCGCCCACTCTGAAGGGTCATGTTGAGGATTAAAAGAGCTGGTGTGTATAAAATCTCAGAGCAGGAGGAAGTCCCAGTAAGTACTCGTCTCCAAGGGGCACCTTGTGGGAATCTGTGGGGCGGCTGCTCTCTGCCCCGACCCCTTTGTCCCAGGGAGGCTTAGTCCTGGGAGCATGGAGACATGCTCGTCCTCGGCTCCCCTCTCAGGACCTGGAGGTTCGTGTCCTTGGAAGCAGCCACCAACCAGGAGAAGCACCGAGTGTGGCCCTAAAACTGGTATAATGCGGGCAGCACCACAAACCCAATTGCTCCCTAGAGTCCAGGTGAACTTTTCTTCACTATCCTGACTTTCACTTACGTTCTGAGCCTTCTTCAAGATGGATGCAAAATAGTCTGTGAATTCACGGCCCTCGAGTCACTCCTGCCAAGGGCCTTTATGAAATGAGCAGTAAGAGCACAGACTGAATCACAACAATGCACGAGAGAAAAAATACCTCTCAGATTAAAAAAAAAACAACAACAACTTCAAAATCAAAAAATCATAAATGTTTAATTAAATGGCTAAAAATGCAACTTTACCTACATCACCTTGTCAACCTCAACTCAACCATGTTGGGTGCACTTGATGTCCACTCTGGAGCGGGGTTTCTAAAGTTAGCAGGCACTCAGCCGACAGAGAGCTTTTTCAAAGGCCTCCTGTCGGTCTCCTTCTGCCTGTTGTTGCCTTTGCTACCTCAGTTTTGCCCGTCTGACCTCAGATTTAGAACTCAGTTTATTCCCTAGTGTCCGGAAATACCCAAGACCATGGAGCACTTTCTGATTTCTTAGACTTAGAAGATAGGAATGTGAGCTGGGAGGACACGGGGAGTGGCCACATCCTGCAGGGTCCAGCAGTGAACCTTCTTCCCTGCCCTCAGCGCTCTTCCTCACCCCTTGACCCCCCCGCCTCAGAATCCCGACAGGACCTCCCTCCCTCTAGGAATTTCACATCCCCTCTCCTCTCTCAGGCAGAGACCCCCTCATCTTGCTCAGAAGCAGATAGCGAGCCTGGGAGGATTCAGCTTTACCCCAAGGGTCTCATCAAGGCATGTTCCCCACAAAGACAGGGCCACTGCACAGAGGAGTTCTTGTCCCACTCCTGAGAGAAGGCTGCTTGCTTCATCTTACCACGCTAGTGCCTTGGAGATGGCGGGGTCTGGGATGTCATCAGGTCCAAACCGCCACTGGGTGCGGATGGTAAACCATGGCTCAGGTCATTCCCGGGGACGTGAGGGACTCAGTGGAGAAGCTGGCTCAGGATCACATAGCTGGCTTACGAAGCTGCCTTTAGAAGTGAGCAGTGATAAGAACACAGAGTAAGCACTAGTTTCAGCTCTTAGATAATTCTTCCTGTCTCTCCCCCTGCCTCTTCCACTCTGAATGGTTGCTGAAGCTTCGAGGGTCAAGCCTATTCTTACTTCAGGGTTCTTACTTGCTGCCTCGGAAGCCCTTTGGCCTCTGCTAAACCATGTCCCTCAACCCAGAACTCCCATCACACCCTGAAACCTCAGAGCTGGGAGAAGCCTGGAGGTGATCAAAGCTAGTTATTTCACTTCGCAGTGCAGAAACTGAGGTCCCAGAGGGAAAGACATTTATGCAACGTTGGGACCAGAAGGTCACCCAGGGGTCCTGACCCTGGAAATGGTGCCCCCTTGCCAGGCACACGGTTCCCACCAGTCCGGTGAAATAATCTGACTTGCACCTGCTCTTTGCGTTCCCTGGCAACCTCCTGCGCTGCAAGTGTCCAGCGTTCCAGGCTCGGTTCTCCCTCATCTTAGGACATTCTCCACCAATTATCCCCAACTATGATTGCCTCTTAGAACATTCTTTTCCCTTTGTGTCTAACATATGGGACCGCTTGGTTAAGAAATTTGGAAGTGAGAGACACCATTCTGGACCGTGGGGAGGGGATGGGGATGACGAAATCTTATTGTCTGACAAATTTTGATTTGGGGATCCTCCAATCATCCACATTCCTGATTCCATGAGGTTCCCCCCGACCGCAGTTCCTCTTTGGCCGTGCTCCTGGCTTAAAGCTCTGTTGTGAGGTCGGGGGGGCACTCAGCAGTCAGACAGACGTGGCGAGAACCCCAGTTCTAGTTTGAGCAGCTCACTTTCCTCCAGTTTCCTCACCTCCAAAATGGGATTAATGACAAACGGGGTCACTAGGAGGATCAAGGAGGTGGCTCCAGTAATTCTTCCTGGGCCTGCCTCAGGGACTTAATACAGACAGCTATTGGGTAGAATTCCTTTCAGATATTTAAGGAGGGGAAAAAAAATTGGACGATGAAACAATCAAAATGTAATGTGACTCACCCAGGCTGGAGCTGAGAGAACCCAGTTTTACTGAACAGATGACATACTTTCTGGGACTGCCAAGCCCAGCTCAGGCTTTCTCTTTAACAGCTTGGGATCCCAGGAGCCTAAACATGTGCCTTCAGGACGAAAAACAACAGAGGATCACATGCATCTCTTGATGCCTCATTTCCTCTGCCTCAGCTTCGCCGTCTGACTTTCTGCAGCCCCGGCACCAGCTGAGGCTCCTTCTCCACCTGTCCTCCTTGTCCTCCTTGTCCTCCTTCCTCTTCTTGCTCTGTGACTCCTGTGAAGCTCAGTCTCTCACCAGGAGCAATGAAACCCAATCTCCTTCTTGTCCTCCCAGCACTAACCTTGGGTTAACGCAGCCTCCTGAATGCCGGTTTGTCCTTATCCCAGGCCCAGCTAGCTGCATTTTCATTTTCTTAAAACAATACAGTGGCCAATATCCTTTCACATCCTAAAAAAAATATTAGAGCTGGACCAGAAGTTAAAGACAGCTTTTGGTCTAGGGCCAGAGAGGTTAGGTGACTTGTTCAAGGTCACACGTAGATTCATAATACTCCGTGCATTTAACAAATGGATGTGGGCCTACTATGTGCTTGGCACTAGGGTAGTTTCCAGGAATAGAAGAATGAACACAATGCAGTCCCTGACCTTAGGCTACGCGCGTTGTCAGCACCATATGCAAGATACTAAGAAAACCAGACCTAGGTCTCCTGGCCTGTCCCTCTTTGTATTCTTCTCTAGGTTAACTTCAATCTTAAAGGCACTCCCCCAAAAATGTGGTCTTCTGGGTACTCTTTTAAATAAAATAATAAAAATAGATCTATCTCTTTTGACAGTACATCTATAATTATTTTAATAATCACTAGAGATTGAAATTTCCTTAGCCACATTTATAGGCTGGGTGAGCAAGATTTATTTTCCTGACGAACCAATAAACAACCAAAAGTACAGGGTCACATAACTTTTTGAAACCCAGTCTCTGACTTCAGTGCTCTTTATCCTCAGCCAGAAACCCCAGACTCAGAAATACCTTCACCTTGCATCCTGAGTCATGCTTCCCCAGGAAAGACAGGGAGGGGATTGAGAAAGGGAGGCATGGAAGGGACTGGAGCATCAAGGGCCTCTTCTAAAGTCAGTACCTCTGTGGGCACCAGGAGCTCAGTCCCTCCAGGGAGGCATGGGAGACAGGATAGAACATTCCTCAGAGTTACTGCAACTCTGGAAACTGCCATGCTAATCCAGCAGCTCCATCTGTGCTACTTCCGGGAGCAATGACACCTCAGCACCGTGAGCTTGCCTGGTGTGCAGGCAGAGCCGGCCTCCGTGATCAGAACAAAAGACCTCTAGCAGCAGGTAGCTGCAGGTGCAGGAGGCATCCTTCAGAGTATAGAGGTCAGTGCCAAGGAGACGAGGGCAGAGCAGGGACAGCACGTGTCCTACCCTGCTTTCTTCAAAGCCACGCGGTGGATGCAGGGTGGCGGCTCCATGAGAGCCGCTGGGAGCATGGAAATGCTGATTCTGCACAATGCAGGGTCTGGCCTCCTGGATTTCCTTTGTTGCGGGGCGGGGGCATGTCCATGGTCCTGAACCGCCAGTTCCTGCTTTAGCGTGGTTCTCCTTTGGACTGTAGTGCAAGGTTAACTCCTATTTACCCTCTCCTAGAATTTACATTTCTGGTTTGCATTTTCTCTCTTGATTAACATTTTGCAATTTTTGCTTTAGCCTGCCCCCAAAAAAGCATGACTTCCATCTCACAATTTACGATTCACATAGCTGCTAGGGTGCACTTATTTTTAAAGAATCTCAGCACTTTTCCCAGAGATCCTCTATCCTTCTTGGGAAGTATAGAGAGGGTGTTCTACCCTTGTCTTTTGTGACTCCCCTGCCCCCTAAGCTCTCGCTGTGTCTGGGCACTCTGAAACACTGCCCCAGTCATGAGGGCCGTGCAAAAGAAAAGCAGTTTGCAGTTGCTGGTGTTTGAGAGCTTCTTCCAGATAAATCATCCTCTCACACCCTTTATTCTTTTTACTTGATGTAGAAATAGCTGTAGTTTGCAGTGTCACCGTTTATCAGTGTGGAATCCTCTGGGGCTTACGGACCCTAAGTTGTCTTGTGCTTATCAGACGGCTCCCACTGACCGGAGGGAAAGGAGGCAAGTGAACAGGGAGGGAAGCCGCGAGAAGCCTACATGGCCTCTCACCTTTCTTCTTTTTCCTGCTTTATTTCTTTCCGTGGTACTTCCTGCCTTCTAGCACCCTAAATGGTTTGCGTTTTTAGGATAATGTATTGCGTCTCTCCCTAGTCCCTAGAACATAAGCTCCAAGGGGGCAGGGCTTGCGTTTTGTTTTGTTCACTGCTTTGTGCCAACATAGACAAGAGGAGCCGGCACCTAGGAAGCACTAAATCGATGCTTGTTGGATGAATGAAGGTGTCTGTCCTGTCAGATCTGCTGACGGAGGCAAAGATTAGGAGGAGGGAGGAGGGGAGGAAGAAGAGAAGGGACCTGATGGAGGGAGAAGCAAATCAGGAATTTGGCAGCTCTTTTCTGGACAGTGTTCATAAATGTTTCATTTTATCTTCTCATCACCACGAAAGGCGGGGCACTCACTTTCTTTCCCTAAATAGGAGGCTTGGGGCTTGGGTCTCTCAGAATACACACGCATCGAGGGCTCTGCTGAGCACGCGTAGTCAACTCCCTACTAAAAACCACAGCTGTCTTCGTAGTTACACAGAATTGGCCTTGAACTTCACTTTTGTCTTTTGCTAACCGTGAGAACTTGGTCAAGTCACTTGCCTCGCTAAGTCTCTGTTTGCAAGCGGGAGTTGTCACCCCAAGAGCACTGGTGTGAGAGTAAATGCGATCACATATCAGAAGTACTCAGTACGTTGTAAATGATCAGTAAGTGTCAGTGTCGTCCCTGTCACCCCTCCAGCTTCCAAGTCCTGGAGCCTCCCATGTGCTTCCAGCCCTGGTTGTCAGCACCTTTCAAGAATAACTGGAAAGAGGAGAGTTTGGTTGAGAGACCCAAGTTTCAAGTCCATCTCTAATTGTCTTGGGGAGGTTTTGGGCAGGCTGTGCATGGATAATATACGACCTGGCAGGGGAAAGCCGACTCCCCGTCTTTTACTTTTACTTGTAACATTCCCCATCAGGCCAGCTTCCCGATGGCCATCAGCACGTCTGTCAGAGCTGGCGCGGGCTACAGGGGACGTGCTCATCTCTCAGCTGCTTTGGCAAAACTTCACTGAATATAGGGGCCTGAGAAGAAAATCAAACCTCCAGATACCACGACGCTGTCACTTCCAGGCATGAGAGGGGCGAGGACAAGTACAAGGGAGCAGGCCTCAGAGAAGGAGCAGCAGCTGGAGGTCACACAGCACACGGATCTCAGAGCCCCGAGTGTGTTCCCATCGGAGCCTGCTCTGCCAATTGTTAGAAGGCAAGCGCCTTCATCTCTGGGCTCCAGTGCTCACCTGGCAAAGCCAGGAGGATGGATGGAAGGATTATGAAGTTCTCTTTTCTACGCAGTTAAGAGGTTCAGAATCAGGAGTCAGGAGCCTTGAGTTTTAATTCGCTATAGACGTGGGATCAGTCAACCCCGAAGTTGCATCTCCTCTGCTTTGTGGCGGCTCTCCCTCTCCCTAGGTTCCTCAGTTGTAAGTGGAATTACACTTGGGAGACCCTCTGGTTCTTCAAGTTGACTGAAGTCCAGGCAGCCTGTGCGTTAGCTGGGCTACCAGTGACTCTGCCCTCCCTCCGCTGACCCCGCCTGCTTGTGTCCTCCAGGCAACAACAGCCTCCTGACCTGTATGGAGGACGGGCTGTGGTCCTTCCCGGAGGCCCTGTGCGAGCTCATGTGCCTGGCTCCACCCCCGGTGCCCAATGCGGACCTCCAGACGGCCCGGTGCCGCGAGAACAAGCACAAGGTGGGCTCTTTCTGCAAGTACAAGTGCAAACCTGGATACCACGTGCCCGGCTCCTCCCGGAAGTCAAAGAAGTAAGTGGGGCTGTAAAGGCCAACTCCCAGGTTCCGGGGAGGAGGAGAGCCAGGTCTGGCTGTCTGGTTAGAAGGAAGCGCTCATTTCCTTACTGGAGGCAGTACCCTCCACTCATCCCATTCTCTTCACTGAGACTCTAGAAGGACATTATTAATAACTGCTTACTGGCTGTGTGACCTCAGGCAAATGACTTCACTTCTCTGGGCCTCTATTTTTCAGCAATAAGACGGGAATGATGATAACAGTTACCACAGGAGAAAGTGCTGAGGATAGAATAGGATGTGTATGCAAAGTGCTAGCAGAGTGCCTGGCACGTCGTAGGTGGTGGGCATTGGTATCGTCATGCCAGCCCATCAGCACACTCCGGAAGGAAGGGAGAGGAGACGGGCTAGCAGGGCTTGGATTTTACGTCAGTCCACATGTAGCTGTGAGAGGGTGTGAGACTCCTGCTTGGCCCTGAGGAAGGAGTCCTGTGAACCCCTGCACATCCCCCCCACCACCCCGGGCAGGGACTCAGGAATGGGCAAGGGAAACCAGAGGCCAGCTGGCTCCAGAGAACCGTGGGGGTTTGGGTTGAGCATGGCTCCAGCCACCTGGTCCTTGAGGTATCTCTTCTTTCATCTCTTCCTTGAAGACGAGCCTTCAAGACCCAGTGTACCCAAGATGGCAGCTGGCAGGAGGGAGCTTGCGTTCCCGTGACGTGTGACCCTCCCCCCGCCAAATTCCACGGGCTCTACCAGTGCACCGACGGCTTCCGGTTCAACAGCGAGTGTCGGATCAAGTGTGAAGACAGCGATGCCGCCCAGGTAAGACTCCTCGGTCCTGAGGACAATACGTAGGCCCCCCTCCTCTCTGCTGACCAAAGATCAGCCTGTATTTTAAGAATCTCCTCCTCCAGGAAGCTACAGGTGTCAGAATTGCATAGTGGCAATAGCAGAATGCAGAAGTCAAGAAACTGGGTTCTCAGGACCTCCCTTTGTAATCTCTCTGAACCTTGTTTTCCTGCCTGTGACACTGTATTTTATTGGTTCAGAGATCCTTACCTTTGAACAAATTTTAGCATTGGAACCCTTATGAAAGAAATCATATATGGAACCCCAGTGTATGAATTTGATCAAAGTTAGGGAGTAGCCAGAACTGTTTTGCCAGATTTCTACCACCGTCACCATCACTGAAATGTTTGAAATCATGACTTCACTATCTTGAGACATCCGTTGTTCCCTCAAGCAAAAGGAGAAAGGGAACCATCTTTAGACTAGATGTACAGTTTTGAGAATACTATGGAAGAAGGAAGAAGAGGAGATGGCAGACATTTGAATTTTATCTCAAGTCCAGCACTCCTGCCGGCCCTGCTGAAGGCGTTCTGTGAATGTATCTTCCGTAATCCTTCCACCTGCTCCTCCACCCCCACCCGCTAACATGGGAGGGAACCAAGAATAGGAAAGAGAAATGAGAGGCCCGCTGGCTCCAAAGAAGACTTAAGTCCACAGGGAGCCCCAGCCTTGACAGAGCCAGCCATGTAGTGTTGACATCTCAAGCCCCATGACTCACAGGTGTGTAAGGATCTTCACTCAGGTGAGGCCAGAGTTCAGCCAACTGGGCCCTAGTGCATGTTTCTCCCCCAGTCAGTCCTTAGTTGTTATTGGCATCTGCCAAATACCAGATGCTGCCAAAGCACCATCCTCAGCTCTTCTGCTCCCACATCCAAAAGGTAACCAAGTCCCACCCATTCTCCCTCTAAGATATCTGATGCTGTTCCCATGCGTCCCAGTGCCACCACCCTAACTCAGGCCTCCAACATCGTTCTCCTGGGCCACCATGCAGCTTCCTGACCAGCCGCCTGCTTTCACATTCTTGATCGTCTCCAGCATGTTGTCCACATTTCGGCCAGAGTGGTTTGTTTAGAGCACAGATGTGATCATGAGAGCTTCCCTGCTCAGAGCCCTTTGTGATCCAGTGACCCCCATCTGCCTTTAGGGTAAAGTCCCAACTTCACATTCAGAGCCTCTCCCCCCATCACCAGTAAGACTGATATCCCTTCACCTTGGCATTCTCTGTTAAAGAGCTCCTCTCACCTTTTCCAGCCACCTCACTCCTAACCATCCTTCACAGTTCAGCCCAGGCACCTCTTCCTCTGAGGGCTCTGTGCCCCTCCTGGGGGTACGCCCTTCACAGCATCGACCACACTGCAATGTCATTCATTTCACATTCCCCTACTAGGTTGTGAAATGCCTAACCACAACATTAATTGTCCCTGCATTTTCAGCACTTGGGACAGTGCCAAGCACCTAGTAGGTGCTCAGGAAGTGGCAGGGCATGAGAAAGAGCTGCAGGGAACATGCAGGCCAGTCTCCTTATTTTCCAGATGAGAAAGTAACTCAACCACCCAAAGTGACACAGCTGGTGTCAGCTGCGTCAGAATCAGAACCCGGGTTCCCCCAGCTGTGGACAGACCGAATCCAGTAGGCACTACCTGAAAATCCTCAGAAGTGCACACCCAGGGATGTCTGTGTACCCGGCTCCTCCCGTCCTCAGCTGCAGTGAAGCAGAAGCCAGGGCGGGACATGCTCAGGCCAGAGATTGCCACGGCCTCGCGCAGCCCATCAACTTCCCTCTCACTCCTTTGCAGAAAACTGTTGCTAGCAGTTACCCAAACTGCTGAGCCAAATAATATCCTGGCCGTAGTCGTATTATCAAACCGAAACCCAGTCTGCCTGGGGCCTGCCAAGTACCTTTCATGGCCAGTTTGTATTTAAAGGGGAGGAAAATGTAAATTTATCAGACGACTCAAGCAGTTCTGTTTGGCAACGGGCGGAGTGGCCAGACGCAAAGGAGCAGGGTATTGCTTGCCGGCCGAAAGAATGAGGGAACGCGTGCCAAATGGGCTCCTCATACAACTGGCGTTTCTAGTTTGTACTGCAAATGAATTTCCTCTACCCTCAGACCAGGGGCCTGAGAGCCAAATCTAGTATTCACCTCAGATCCCCTCTTGCTGCCTGTAAACACAGCCGAAACTTACGGCTCAGAGGATCTTGAATTGAACAGCTTGTATGGAGCAGGAAGTCTTTGCTTTCCAAACAAGTCCCAGATCCTGGCAGGAGAGGACGGGGTCTGTTGTGGGGGAGGTTTGCATACTCCTTCCCGCTGCCACTAAAAGCGGATTAACCAATCTAACCTCGACTTCATTCATTCCCTGGGAGCCAGTATGATGCTGGATCTGGACTCCGAGTTTGAATCCTGGCTCTACCACTTACTAGCTGTAGGACTTGGGAAAGTGATTTAACTCTTTCAGCTTCAGTTTCCCCATGCATAAAATGGGGGAGAGGGGAGAATACCACCCACCTCATGGTTTGTGAGGATTAAAGTAGGGCATGTCTATGCGTTACCCCTGGAATTGTGCAGTGCTCAACCTGTGCCACCATACTTGGCAGCCCTGGGGAACACACAAATGAACTAGTCTGCCTTTAATGTCACTTCTAGTGGAGAGAATCCATGATGCTCTGTGTGGGCTCCTACAGAACCTGGAAATAAATGCAGTGCTTGAAAGTTAGCCCTCTTTTGGCAACTAGCCCCAGAAAGTCATCCATCATGCATGAGGCCAGGGAATAGGTTGACCAATAGGAACCATAGGGAGACCTGATCTCTTGCTCAAATAAGCCTGTAGGATATATAGATTCTCTAGACTAGCACTGCCCAGTAGAACTTTCTGTTATGATGAAAATGTTCTGTATCTGTGCTGTGCAATCTGGTGACCACTAGCCACGTGTGGCTGTCTAGCACTGGAAACGTGGCTGAGTGACTGAGTATTCTGTTTTATTTCATTTTAAATACTTCAAATTTAAATGTAAACCACTGCACTTGTACAGTGGCTACCATATTGGACAGCTCAGCTCGAGAATTTACAGTGCTAGACAGAGAATCTTCATAAGACAGAGAATCTTCATAATAAGAGCTTTTTTATTTTTAAGTGTTTCCTGAATGCCAAACTGGATCTGCAGATTTTCTCTCATTTTGACAACTCACAATAAATCTCTGAAAAAGAAACAATATGCCCATTTTACAGATGAGGAAAGAAGGTTTGGGAGGTCAAGCTCTTGCCCATGGTTATGAGTTAGTAGGTGGTGCTAACTGGCTTCCCAGCCCTGTTTATCCCACTGCCTCCTAACATTTCCATGGCAGGTGAATGGCAAAGGCAGGAATTCCATCTCCAGGCAACTGGGGAGAAGTGCTCATTGTCTCAGCATTTAATCCAGCTCAGATGCCCCTGAACTGTCGGAGGTGTTAACTCAGGCCTCGTTCTGTGTGAAAAGCACTGTGAAGGCTTTGTAGGTGATTAGGGGAGCAAGCTGTCTTGGGATGGAGACAGGATCTGTGGGCGATGCATGCTTAAGGGCTGCAGCAGGAGAGGAGGAAGCTAAATGTGCTTTGTGCACCAACTCATGCACTCCTTGGAGGGTTTCAGCAACTCAGCAGGAGGTGGAGGGAAAGGGTGGGAGTGGAGCCAGAGATGCACCCAGTTCTTTGCACGGGTCACAGAGGGTGGCTGTAAGAGCCTTTCTGCCACTGGGGGTGTGCTGCTGCCCCCGCCTTTCTGGCTTCTAATCTGGACGTAGCACAGCCCGCACAGGTACAGTGCCTCCCCAGGCAGGGGCCGCTTCTAGTTTCAGTGTCGTCACGTGCTTGCCCACGAACGCAGGGCTTCCTAGAGGAAGCCAGAAACATCCCAGGTCTGTGTGATGTTAGAGGTAGGCACAACCTCAGAGATCTCCCTCTGCAACCCACTTATTTTACAGATGTGACCACTGGAGCCCAGAGAGGGAGAGGGACCTACCCCAAGTCATACAGCAAGTTACCAGCAGAGTCAGATCTTAGACAGTCTCAGCTCTCCTAACCTAGTCATTACACAAACCACGTTTTCTGCCCATCTTTACTCCTGGAGCCACATGTCACCCCTATATCTTACTGGGAGGAAGCAAAATGCATGTGAAGCCATTGACTGGACACCAAGGCAAATCATGAACAGCAGCTGCGATTTATTGAGCATTTACTACACGCCAGCCTCTGGGCCAAGTGCTTTACGCAGACTCCTTTACACAGCATCTGGCATTACTGTCCCATTCTGCAGATGAGGAAGGCGTGGTTCAGTGAGGCAGAGTGGCTCGCCCCACCTTGTACAACTAGGAAGTCCAGGTAGAACTGAGAGTCCAATTACTAGGTCAGCTGCCTAATTATACCCTGCACTGCACTTCCTGGCTCTGCCTTGCTCTGATGCTGCCACATTTCTCTCTGCCAACGTGTTTACTTTCATTTCTGCTAAGTAGAAGAAGTCTAGGTCTCCCTCCCCCTCCTCCCCTCTACAGAGGCTCACGGTAGGAGGCTGGCATTGGCGACCTCCATGGCTTGGGCCCGCTGACTCCCTGTTCTGGCTGCTGCCATTTCTAATATGTGGGCAGTGGTTGGGCTAATTCTGGAGTTCCCTTGGAGACAGTACGACAGCGCGGTTAAGGGCTTAGCTAACGCTTGGAGAGCTCCATGTGTGTGTTAAGCTCTAAACACTTCATGTAACCCAACTCAGTTGATCCTCATGATGACTTTTGCCCAGACAGTGGACTCCGGGCTCATTTAACAATTGGGGAAATTGAGGCACAGAGAAGTTGAGGTACGTCCCCAAGTCCACACAGCTGGAAGGTGGCAGAGATGGGATTCAAACCTGGACACTTTGGCTTGAGTCCATACTCTTAACCATCACACCAACATCATTTAAAAATTCACTTTTTCACATCCTAGCTAAGCCTCAGTTTCCAAATCTGTAAAAGGAATATAATTTCTACAGAAACTACATTGTTAAAAGCATTTTTAAATGTGTCGAAAACACTTGGCACATAATAGGTATTTGATAATGTGATTATCGCATGCCTTTGGCTCTTTGGGGACCTGCATAACTAAAGAGAGTTGGCGAGGGCACAGTATGCTTTTTTACAGACGGATGCACAGGCAGAGAGACACAAGATGCTGAGGGATGTTCAGTTTCACCCTAGCGTGCAGAATTGCGCATTCAGAGCCCAGTGCCCACAGTGGGTCCCCTGCCTGTGGTCTCTGGTCTTCCCAGATTGGGAAGACCTCAGTGTCAGGTCTTCTAGACCCAACTTCATGGATCTACCCTGAGGATCGGTACCACGTGGCCGGCAGCCCTGAGTGCACCAAGATCTGTTCCCAAAGGAGGATTCAGAATCCAGAGAGGCTCCAGAAAGTCTGCCGTGCAGGGGACCTAGCAAGGGCAAAGGCGTCGGGATGGGGAACAGGAGAAGTGTGCAGGAGAGACAGGTGACCACAGACTAGAAGGGAGGATGTGTGCATAGCAAGAGGTGGGGCTGGACCCGTCGCCGGGGTTCCACTGTTGAAGCCCTGGACTCCGGCCCTCGAGTCCGCCTGGTTTGGCAGAAGGGCTCCATCTTTTGAAATACTGATTTAGTTGCAGCAGAAAGTGCCGAATGAACTGGGCAGGAGGCAGAGAGACTAAAGGCAGTGAGACCCCTGTCTTTATGTTCCCGCCTTCTGTTGTGGAGCCTCCCCAGTTTGGATTCCCTGAGCAGATTCCAGCCAGTCCTAACAGTCTCTCTTGCAAACCGAGCTCCCCAGCCAGCTCTGGCCCACGCGGTGCTGAGGTCTGCAGCCCTTGAGGGGCTGGAGGCCAGACGCATCATAGGCCCAGGCCAAGGCTGCAGGAAACTGGGGTCAATGTCCTACTCCCCTGAGGGCCCGACGGAATCATGGGGCCTGGGGCTCTGGGAGGGAGAGTCGGGGTTCTCTGAAGCCATACGAAGCCGAGCTCACGCAGAACCACTGTGGGTGGACTCAGCAAGTCGTCTCACAGCTGCGTGCTCGGGTTGGGCCACCCTTCTCTGTGGCCACAGACGTTTCCACCGTTTCGGACCGTCCTCATGCTGGCCCACGTGAGGCCCTGAGAGGGGCCCCCTTTCTCTTCTAATTCCTGTCTCCTTGCAGCTGTGTTCTCAGACAGGGGCGCTCAGCCGGCACCAGCCCTTTCCAAGAGTTTATCATCTCATACGTGCACACTTATTCATTTATTCTCTTATTCATTCATTTCTTCAGTGGCTAATTTATTTCCTCGTCCATGCACTCATTTCTCTTCTTGTGTTTTAAACAAATTCATCCTATACCTGCCCACCCATTCACCTCATTTTCTGCTAAACAGGGCTTGAATGAACAGAAACAGCTATTGAGTGATGAGTGAGCGGACCGAGTGGCCAGGACCTGCTAGGTGCTATGGAAGGCCCTGGGGCCGCAGGGATGGCCAGGGTGCCATCCTGGGCCTTAAGGAGCTCATCACCTAGGAGGGAGCAGAGGATAAACACAGGGGAGATAGGTGTCAGAGACCTTAGGGCGTACACTCTGCAGCACTGGGGTGGCGTTAGGACAGGATGGCTTGTGCCAGTGTTTGGGTAAGGAGGCAGTGGGAGAGATGGAGTGGACAGACGGGGCAGCATGTGCAGAAGCAGGGCCATGTGAAACCTCATACGGTGCCTTCGAGAATGCAGGCAGTTGACGAAGTTCAAGGTTGGCGGTGGTGCTGGGGGAGCAAGGAGGTGGAGAATTAGGCGGAGTTAAGGCTGCGTGGGCTCTGAAGGCCAGACGCAGGGGTGTGAATGGAAGCTGAAGGCACGGGAGCCATTCCACAGATGCTTTCATCAGTGGGGCGCGGTCAGCTCCTCTGCTCTCATGTGGAGTTTGCCTCCTATTGTAAACTTGAAAGAGGGAAACAATAGATAGCTTATTCTCAGGTAGACTGAGCTCCCTGTGCAGAAAATACCCATGGTTCTCCACTTCCAAGGGGTAGAATTCCAAACGCCGTAAGCGGACATTTAAGGCCCCACACTTTACCTGCCTAACTGGCTCATCCTGCCTGACCTCTCCTTCTCAAACTTGTGTATACCCTTGACCTTCCACAATGTCCTGCCCTCCCTGTTCTGCCTGATTCTACACATCCTTGAAAACGTTTCCATGTATAACCTTCCCTGAGAGGCCTTCCCTGCTTACCCCTCACATCCACTCCTCTCTGTGCTCAAAGCCCAGTCACACTGGCATGACCGTCTCTCCTCCGGACTCCCTGGGGCAGAGGCCAGCTCGCTTCACTTCTGGACCCCACAGAGCGGAGCCCAGCGTAGAGACTAAGAAGCGATCCTTGGTTCTGAAATTTCGACAGAGCTGGCCCTCCCATTAGAATCTCAGATATGGAAAGCGGCTTGGAGAAAGGACCACGATGCAAGTTGCACTTGCCTAAGACTCTGCAGAAGATTGAGAACTGGGGTATTGCTTATTTTAGAGAATCAGGAGCCGGGGAGAGGCACAGATAGACGTATCCCACACCACCTCCTCGGTGCCATGACTGCTGGAATGGAAAGGAATGGAATGAAATGGAACAGAAGGAAGGAAAGGAAAGCCCAGAAGTGGAAGCTTCTCGGCGGGGCCAAGGTGGCCTCGTCCAGCCAGGCAGAGCCCAGGGCCTGGGACACGGTCTCCTGGGCTGAGAGGAAACGAGCTCTGGTGTGTGCCCACCTCCTCACGGACAGCTCCAGGACCCACCCTCACTCCCTGCGCGCGTCCATGGGGTGCATGCGGCCCCCACCTTCTCAGTGAAAACGCCGGCAGACAAAACAGAGTCCTCTGACCAAAACCCCTGAAAGAACACTGCGAGCATTTAGGAAGCCTGGGAGTTAAACTCTCTGGGAAGCTTGGAGCAAGTTTCCCCCCACCCCGAGCCTTGTTTCCTCTCTGCAGTGCCTGTGTGCGGTGGCTGGGTGTGCGCCTAGGTTCAGGGCTCGTTCTGGAACACTTTCAGAGCTCGGGGGTGGGGGCATGCTGAGGGGCTTGCTCTGTGGAGGGCGGGAGTCTCTTCTGCTCCTGACTGTGCGCCTGTGCTGTTCAGGGTCCCGGGAGCAACGTCATCCACTGTCGGAAGGACGGCACCTGGAACGGGTCCTTCCACATCTGCCAGGAGATGCAAGGCCAGTGCTCGGCCCCGGGCCAGCTCAACAGCAACCTCAAGCTGCAGTGCCCCGAAGGCTACGCCATAGGTACGCCGGGCGCCGGGCGCGAGCCGCGGGAGGGCACGTCCTTCCAGGGGTGTGGGGGCTCGCGCCTTGCTGGGAACTGGGCTCCCCTCCCGTGTGAGGCCCTGCGAGAGGCACTGGGGATGTGAAGATGAAGGAGACCAGGCCCTGTCCTCCCAGAGCGAGCTTGGAGGGCACAGATGTTGGCGAGGCAGTGGGGGGCGAGCGCGCAGTTACACTGGACTACGGGCAGGCTGACCGGTGCCTCAGGGCACATGGATGGCTCCCAGAGCAAGGGGTGCTTGCACAGGGATCTGCTGGAGCTCGCTGGGCAGAGGTGGCATTCCAGACGGAAGGGATCCTGCGGCAAAGGGAGATACGAAAGCACACATCCTATTTAGGGAAGCGATAGTGGTCCAGGGCAGCTGCCTTTGTTATTAACCTTAAAATGTGCAGAATGCTGATTGCTTGTCATGCTGACTGCGGGTCAGGGCTGCTTCAAGCGCTTCCAGGGCATTGGCGCTTACCCTCTCAGCGCCCTCTCCCAGAGGGGGACAGTGAGGCACAAAGGGAAAGCAGAACGCGCCCAAACCCCGAGACCGCTCCTTCTCCAAAGCCCGCGCTCTTTCTGTGGCATTTTAGTTGCCTCCAAAAGAAGGATATGCAGCGTTTTCAAAATACTGTTTGCGGGGCCAGAGGCCGGCTCTTGCAGTGAAGGGAGGCAACCTGGCGTTTGATGCCAGGGGTTTGCCTGGTTCACACCAGGCGTCGGGGCAGATGATTAATCATAGGCTCCCCACTTCCTGGGGATCTGGGCGTGACGGAGGCTGACCTCAGTGGAGGGCCGGGATACCGACCTCTTGGGCTGATTCCCTAATTGACCATGATGAAAAGCCCAGGGAATTGGGTGTCCTTTCTCATGGCCAGTGTGATTTATGGGACAATCACCAGGGATGTCTGGAGCAGAAGGTTATCTGTGCACACACTCACTCCCAGTCACACAGAGCAGTGTGTTCCTCACCCAGTAAAAGGCGTTATCATTTCATGTCCAGAAGGGAGGCCAGTGACTGGAGAGCAAAGTGGGGAGGGACCTGACCGCTTCCTGTTAAAGACAGAAACACGTAGCGTCAGAGCACGGAGGTTCTTCGCCTGAACTCCAAGTAGGGATCAGCAGCCTGCGTTAGTCCAGGATGGGGTTAGGGAACCCCCTAGGTTGCTCTCCCTGGTGGTTAGGAAGGCACTTCGGGGGCTTACAGAGCCACCAGTCCGAAGGACCCTGACCAGGAGGGTTGCAGAGGTGGGATCTTGTGGGGCCTGTCAAGGTAGGCATCCTAGGAAGTTGGGACAACAGGCGTAACGATGGTGAGTCACATCAGCTGCTCCATCCTAAGGCCAAGGCTGTCTCCTCTCCGTCATTCCTGATGAGTGTGCGTGGCTCTGGACACTTCTGTGATGGGGTCCCTGCCCCCAGCTCAACCAGAGCATGCACGTGAATACTCAGTCATGCTCGTGACTGGCATTGAGCAACAATGGGGGGGAAATTCTAATTAAAACCAGATTTCCCTCCTGTCTGCATCCACTGACATGTTCAAGTGCATGTATTCACGTATGTGTATATGAACACAGGCACGAAAGCTTAATAACCAGACGCAGACACACACACCCTGCCGTGAGCTCATGCAGAGCACGTACGCATCAGCCAGACCGGCGCAAATACATCACCCACACAAGCACACACGTGTATACCTACACGTGGCTTGCACACACATACACAAATACATCGTGTGGCCACTATGTACACATGTTGTGTGTGCATGTCGCAGGCGCGTGCAAGTGAGCCAGAATGCTTGGCTCTCTGCTGGCCCACAGAATGGTCAAGAGGCAGCGGGAGGGGTAACAGTAGCATTCCTTTCCAGCTGAGCTTTGTCATGGCCAAAGCAGAGAGGGAAAGCAATCCATCCGACACTGGAACCTGAGTGCTTCTGTCCTCTGTACCCCAAGTTCCCACTGCCAGGCAGACGCCGGTTTTATGAATGAGGTGGTCTGGGTGGGCGGTGGGCTGGTGGGGGCACATGGGGAGAGCTGGGAGAGCAGAAGCAGCCTGGGGCACTGGGGGAGAGGCAGGAGGTGGTGGGGGAGAGGCTTCCCTTCCTGACTCCCCAGCTCTGTCCCCCTCCTCACCTCCAGACGCCCCTCCCCGTCTGTCCACTCCCGGGCTGGGACCCTCCCTAGGGAGAGCCCACCTCATCAGAGAGGGACTCAGCCAAAGGCTTCATAAGCAGGGGTGAGGTGTGTGTCCGGCTTGGGGGCTGGCGACCACATTCTAGAGTCGCCCCAGAAGCTCCCTCCGGCCCTTCCCCAAGCAGCCCAGCAGCGGTGGCAGTGAGGAGCCCTCAGAAAGTTGCTGCTGCCACCAAGGCAGCTGCCACCTTCCCTGCTCCTCCCGGGAAGGAGAGGCGGGGGCCTGGTGAGATCACCACTCTGTAATGATGCCAATTAGGGCTCATATATCACAACACAGCAGCCCGCCGGAGCCGAGGGGCCCAGAGAGCTGCAGCCTGGGGGAGGGGTGCACAGCGGAGGAGCCCGGGGCTGCGTGTCTGCATCCCTGGGCAGCGCGGGCCTCCTGTGCTGACCAGGTTTTTTTCTTTTTCCCCCCTTTGGGATAAGATAGCCTTTGCCATTTCTCAGATCTTCTTTATTCAAGAGAATTTTATCACTGCGGACTTGCTGTGTCCTTGGTCCCTAAACGCTTCAGAGCTGAGCTTGTGACAGACACGCACCACTGAGTCCCCGACAGCTTAGTGACCCCCCTTCATTCTCATCACACATTTGTTTGGCTTTTTGCCTGTCCCCCATTTATGTTCTCTCTTCTGACCCTTCACCCCTCTCCATTCCTCCCTCCTCTGTGTGTCCCAGTACCCACCCTGGGGCTGGGCAGTCAGAGGCGTGGGCTCTCCTCCATGGCCCCTGCTCACAGCTCTGTGACCCCAGCTCCACACACCGCAGTCTCACCTCTGAGATGGGTGTGGTGACACTGGTCTCACCCTGGGCTGGCGGTGAGTGACAGATGAAAACCTGACAAGACCAGGACCCCTCCACCATACCCCCCTGTTCTGGGCTCAGTGTCCCCACGTTTAAAGTAAAGAGGTTCTAAAGATTTCCTGGACCTGCCACCCCACCCTTGCCTCCTCTTCAGACTTTGTGAGTCTTAAGATGGCAACAGGAAGGGCCCTGGATGGATGAACTCTATATACATCTGTAAGGATCTATGTATATACATGTACATACATATGCACATGCATATAAACCCACCTTGTGTATGCACACACACTCATCTGGAAGGGAGCCTTTAGAATGGCGAACAGCGTAGGGTACTTTTTAAGAGGGTTGGCGCTTGTGAGCCATTTAGTGTTCAAGAGTGGTCCTGGCACGAAGGCAGGGGAGTGACCTCCCTGGTGGCCTGGTCAGATTCTGACACATCAGTTTTTTTGCTTACATGAATCAGCACCTTTTTAGAGTCCTTGGGACATCTCATGGGATAAGCTTGATTTTTAGGAGATTTCAGAATCCTTGAGGTCAGGACAGAGAACGGATGAGTCAAATTACAGTCAGTGTGCCAACCAGCTCACAGCGCAGAAGTCAGCCGTCTTCAAGAAGTCCCTGGACTGAGGGCTTCTGTGTCCTGACCGTGCCGTGTTGGTCAACGTGCTCTCGTTGACTCACTGCCTGATTGATGTCTTCATGCCTTTATCCGTTCACTCATCCGTGTTGTGCCATTCATTCATTCACTCATTCGTGCATTCATTTCCTCAGCCATCCGTGCACTCATTCACTTATTGTTCCTCACAGTCATTTCACAAACACTTACTGGGTGCCCCCATCTGCCAAGCACAGTGCCAGGCTCTGGGCCTAGAACGGGGAAGGCAGACAGTGCTGGCCTCACAGAGTTACAGGCGAGCAGGGAAGAGAGCTATGGATATGACAGTCGGCAGGCCGGTGGGAAGTGGTGATGTGACCACTGCCGTGACGGTGACTGTGAGAGGGCTTGGCCTGTCAGGGATGGAGGTCTGCTCTGAGCAAGGGGCACCTGGATTAAGGTCTGAGGGATCCTTAGTCATGTGCTAGTTGAGGAGGAATGGGAAGGGTCTTGAAGGCACAGGGCAGGGTATGAACGCAGGCCCCGTGCGAGGAGACATTGTGGGGCTGAGAGGCTGACATTGCATTCATGTGCTCGCCAGTCGCTTGGCTGATGCTTGCTTGCTAAGCAATCCCTGTGTGTCAGGCACTTCCCCGGGCAGCACCATGGAAGGCGGGACCGAGGGGTAAGACCGACACTGGAGTGAGGCTCACCCATTTCGGTGCTGCTCTCACTCAGCTGCAGGAATCAGGGCAGGCTTCCTGGAGGATTTGAACTGGGCTTTGAAGAACTGGTAGGATGTGACCCTGAGAAGGCACATCGGGGGCTGATTCAGGAAGGGGATGAACAGGGGCAGAAGTACGGAGGGGAGGAAGTGTGGACTCAGACGGCAAGCCAAGCGCAGCCCGGGTGGTGGGAGTGTGTGAAGGTGCGTAGTGGGAGCTGAGACAGACCAGGCCATGGGAGGCCGTGAAAGCTGGGCAGAGGGGATGGACTTTGTCCTGATGTGCGGAACCTTGGAAAGGTGCTCCAGCAGAGGAGGAGCATGATGAAACTGGGCTCAGGGTGGATAAGTGTGGCAGCAGGAACAGTCAGGGGGACCAGAGGTGGCCCTGCCAGGGGGTCCATTCCTTCCCACGGCCCTCGAGAGTGGGACGGCCCAGGCCAGTGGGGACGGGGGAGCAGCCCTGCATCAGGAGACTGGGGGCTGAGCCGCCGCCTCACGTCTGCTTCCCGTCAGGGTCGGAATGTGCCACCTCGTGCCTGGACCACAACAGCGAGTCCATCATCCTGCCAGTGAACATGACCGTACGTGACATCCCCCACTGGCTGAACCCCACACGAGTGGAGGTGAGTGACCAGGGCCCCCACCCGGGACTGAGGGAGGGAAATGACCTTGTTGACCACTTACCGCGCCCTGGTCCCGCATGAGTCCCTCTGTAAACATGAAAGCGGCTGGTGGTCACACCTGCTCTGTGGGCTGGGGACTTGTTCACAGTGGTTTCTCCAGCCTTTAAGTATTTGATACTTTCCCTCTGGCAGGCCCTGTGTTGAGGACCTTTTATGTACTATCCCACTGAATCCTCATGACAGCCTAGGAGTAAGAACACTAGTGCACCCAGTTTACAGATGAGGAAACTGAGGTTCCAAGAACAGAAAGAGCAGAGTTGGGATGCAAACCTGTGTCTGACTGGACGAGGCTCCTGGCTTCTCTGGTGTAAGCTCTGGTTGGCAGGGGCCTTCCACATTCTGCAGCCTAGGTTTCTGGGGTCTCCTCCGTGCTTCGCTTGTTCGGTAGAAGGTGATTAGTATGTGACTTGGGGAACTAGTTAACAATTGTGTATGAAGGACCTCCTCCGTTCGTGCGCCGAGCACTCAGCACACATTTAAAGCTCAGGATGTTACGTGGGGCAGGGACATTGTCTGCATTCTCTGCTTCTCAACACTGAGATCGCAGGTGTGAGCGATGGCCCAGAGTGAGGGCTTGAACCCAAGCCTGAGTCCACGGGCTGTGCTCTTCCCATGGTGCCGGTGTCATCGCCTGCTTCACGTTGGGGTTGGTCCCTCCCGCATTCCTTTGTGGTCCCCAATTCACTGGGGCTCCCAGAGCTGGTGCGGGACCCACTCTCGTCCTCCAGGGCAGCGCCATCCCAGGCCTTGTGTGCCGGCTCCGGGCAAGGGCCGCTCACGCTGGAGGAAGTGAGGGAAGGAGAGAGGGAGGCAGGGGCACGGGGTGGGTTCAGCTGTGTCTCTTCACCAGCCTCAGTGCCGTCTGCCCGCCTGCTGCAGATCCTGCCCTGGATAACCGGGCAGAACCCGACACCGGGTGTACTGTTTCCCCCACGAGCTGAGGGCACGGCTGTGAGGGCTGACTCAGCGCCCCGGGCCCAGCCACCTGGCACTGGACCGGCCGGCCCGCTCGGCTCCCCTGTGCACCCCAGGGCTCTCCCGCCTCCACTGCTGCTCTCTGCCCGTCTCCAGCTGTATTTCCCTTTTCCTGCCTCTGTTTTCTCTCCATGACTCTCTTCCTTCTCTCAATACCTCTGTCACCTTGCCCTGACCCCCTCCTGCCCACACTCTTTCTCTCCATCTCTGTCTCCCTAATCTCCATCCTGTTTTCCACACTCAGCATGCCTTTGCCCACTCCTCACCCAGAGCCCCCATGCAGACTCTCACCGAACGCCTGTGTGCACGGACGTGCTGCACACACCCAGGCTCACGCACAGAGCCTGTAATCAGAGTCTCAAGACAGCTGGAGACCATCAGATACATGCCCGTCACTGTACAGATGGGGAAACTGCGTATCAGAGAGGGAGGGGACTAGGCCAGGGTCACACAGGCCGCAGAGCCAGGATCACGAGTGGCCACTCTTTGCATGCCGTATCGCCCTCCCTGCGCCCTGCCCTGACTCCCACACCACACAGGAGACCCGTGCTCCCACCCAGAGCAGACTCACCCCAGTACTGGCGGTCTTCTTTGCCTGGGGCCCAGACCAGGCTCCCTCACCCGTCTCCCACTCAGGTCCCTCCTCCGACCCCCAGGTGAATTCCCACCCTTCCCTCCGTGAGCCCCGGGCACTAAAGAGTTCAGTTATAATTCACTGTGAAATAAATCCAGGGATTTGAAAGCCTGCAGAGTCCCCCCTCTTCAGTCGCCCACCCGCTGCTTGCCTGCCCCAGCCCCCACCCAGTTCCCTGGTCTGCCGGCCTTTATTGATGCCGGCCTACCGAGAGGGCCATAACGAGGTTCAGACCTCCACTGGTCTCCGGAGGCCTCATTATCCAGGAGGAAAAAATGTGGTAGAAAAAGGGAGGAGGGCGAAGGGCAGAGATTGATGATTTCCAGGAATCAGGCAGAAAAGCTGGCCTCTGCTGCACCCTTGCCCTTCGTGTGGTGAGAGCTACAGAGACAGAGCTGCTGGTGTGGCCACGGCCGGGCCGGGGCGGGCCCGGGGTGGCTCCTCCGCTGTCTGAGGGGTGGCCTCTGAGCACCCGTGCAAGGTAGATGGTCAGGGGCAAGGCTCTGCCCCAAACTGTCGCGTTTGTCCCCAGAGGAAGAGAGAGAGAGAGGTGAGAACTTACGCGTCATAGATGCCTGCTGTGAATCAAGCGTGGGATCAGGCACTTTCCAGCCTTTATTTGCACCCCCGCCCCCACCGTGTGCCCACGTGTGCACGTGCGTGCACGCACACACACACACACACGCCTATGAGGTGGGGATCAGTCTCTGTTTTTCCTGTGGAGGAAACAGAATCTCAGAGATGGAAGCCACTTCCTAAGAGGAGTGAAAGATGGACCCAGGCCAGTCTGGTGCTGCCATTTACTCCAGCCACCCCTGCAGCTTCTGTTGGATGTATGATAATAATTCATAAAGGCAGAATGTTTATAATTGCGCACCAGCTGGTAGATAGTTAGCACCTGGCCCTCCACCAAAAGGTACCCTCTCTGGTTTGTAGCCCTTGCCAGTCCCCGTGGTGGAAATACTCTCACCGTGGCAGATCTCAGGTTTTCCAGGTGGCTGTCCCTAGACACAAGTCCGAGGAGACGGGCTCGGCTGGCTCTCAGGAGCCCTCGCAAACTGGCTGCGGCCAGCGCTGGCCACCGCTGGCACTTACCGTGTGCCGGGCTCAGCGTTAAGCTCTTGGCCTGTATTGACTGGCACGTAGACGAGAGAGGTGATTACTCAGGAGCAGAAGACCCACACCGACGTCACGTGCGTGACCAGTGGCCTTTGTGAGGACAGGCCCGTGCTCCTGTCATTTACCGTAGCACGCCCGCCCCTCAGGCCCAGTGTGGCTGCTCCCGAAATGTTAATGGTTGCTGAGTCAGGGGACCGAGGTTCGAGTCCAAGCCCAGGCACCCGCGTGCTGTTTGCGCCAGAGTTTCCCCACCTGTGCAGTGAGAGACCGAGATGGAGGGTCCCAAACTCAGACGCCAGGGGAAGCAGGCGGGCGGGACACGTGGGAGAAGCGAGTCAAGCATTTACTTTGCACATTAAACACCTTGACGTGTTAGTGGTAATATTAGTAGTGGTGGTCGTTACTATAAATACATCAGACAGACAGACTGCAAGGAAATACAACAAACGCCCACACGCATCCTACTCAGTCTAAGAAAGAAGCCATTACAGACGCAGTTGAAGTTCTTACTTTCTTATTGAGATAAAGCGCACGTGCTAACCTTAAGCACAGGGCTTGATGAATTTCAGTGTTTTGTTTTCCACTCATGAAGCCCAGATCGGGGTGGGGCGGTTTCCAGCTCCCCAGACGGTTCCCCACTCCCCTCATGCCGGGCGGTGCCCCCACCACCAAGGTAACCTGTACTGGTTCTGCTTGTGTTGAAACTTCATGGAGCTAGAATCAGAGAGTATGTATCTGATGAAATTCTTTTGTAGGCATGTCTTTTTGCCTTCATAGAGAAAAACACTCTGTCCCTTTATTTAAGTTCTCTCCCTTTTAAATCTCCCCACCTCCCCTCCCCACATAGACACATGCACTTGTGAAAGTGACAGAGATACAGAGAGACCTTCCTCTAATCTAACAGACAAGACAATGCAGACCCTCAGTGATGGATGGAAATGCCCCGCGGGCTCCATGCTGGACAGACTGCAGGGAATGGTGGAGACTATGGTCGACTGTGGAGATCACACGCTGGCTTCCAAAGGGGAAAGCTCTAGCTGAGTGTGGAAGTGTGGGCTCAGCGTGGCCAGATTTGTCTGTTTTTTTTTCCTCTTGAGTACAGGAATGCTTGAGTTTTAAAAATACGAAAATCTCTCTTTTTTTATATATATTGGCAACTAATTTTGAATTTTGTTGAGCACCATGTGTGCCAAACCAAACATTTCTGTGGGTTGTGTAGCCTGGAAGCTGTTGGCTTGCAGGCCTTGGATGAGACAGTCTCTTCCAGGCTGAACACCAGAATTCAGGGGTGGTACCTTCTCTTCCTTTAGCTCCTAAGAAGCACCCCCACCTGCCCTGCACTCCCCCAGTCTCAGGGTGCTGAGAAAGTGCAGCTTACAACCTCAGGAGTGTAATTACTCTAGGTCGCTGGGATCTTGGCTTGTATAAGGGCTTCTGGAAAAAGGATGGAAGGAAGAAAGAGAGGAGGAAAGGGAAGGAGGGAGGGAAGGAGGTGAGGAGGAGGAAGAGGGGGAATTAAGGAAAGGAAAGGGACGTGACCTTGACTGTGACGTGTGGGCCCTGTCCGTTAGGCAGTTTCATACATACCACCTCCTTTTGTCTTCACCACACTCCAGTGAGATAAATACTACCACCGTTTTACAGACGAAAAAGCTGAGGCTCTGAGAGGTGGTCACTGCCGGATTCACATAACTAAGTGACTCCATCAGGATTAGTACCCTGATTGTCACGCGTTCCGTCCTGCAAGGCAGCCACCTCGCACGTCATAAAGAATAAATACACGCGAACATCAGACAGAGAATGCAGCACTCATTCCTCAAAGAGGAGGCATCCGTGTGGAAAACCCTGCCAGGGCCTAGAGGTCAGAGGTAGAATGGTTCTGAGTGAGCACGAAACCCAGTCTATTCCACGCACACACGGAGGGGAAGCCCACAGATGGAGCGATGTGTTCCCAGCCCAGCGCACTTTCCTTCACTCACAGACACACTCATACAGTCACTCATTTGGCCATTTGCTCGTTAACTCATCCGATAAACGCTGATTACACACCTACAAATGGTAGGCGGTCCTCAGACACAAGGCACACAGGGGGGGAAACGCCTGGGCTTTTAAAAAGCTTACCCAGAAGAAAGCCAGAAGCTCCATGACTGATACCAAAAGGCAAACACAAATGGTGTCATTGACTCATAGAGGTTCCCTAAGTCAAGGAGAAGTAAAGGAGGAAAATGGGGTCATCTTTGACGACCTCAGGGGGGCATCGGGTCTGGGCCTTGGGACGAGGGTGTCCCCTCAGAACGTCTGCTCTCTCACGTCTTTGGCTCTGCCTTGGGCCCGTCTTCTCTGGGATTCAGCTTTTAAACACTCGTACCCTACTGCAGTTGTCTCAAAGCCTCTCTACCTTCCTAACCTCGGTCTTTCCGTCGGTCCAGAGACTAGGCTTTTTCATACGTGCAGGTTCAGGGGCTAAGGCGATGTGGAGGGGAGTATAGTGTTCAAAATGTAGACCTGGAAATAAGACAGACGTGAGTTTAATTCCTGATTGTCACTACCTACGTGGATGATTTGGGGCAGGTTGTTTAATGTGCCTCCGTTTCCTCTTGTGTAAACCAGTCAAAAACCATAGGAATATATGATACGGTATCACTTAGTCGTGGAATCTAAAAATAATACAAATGAATCTATATACAAGACAGAAACAGACTCACAGACATAGGAGACAAATTGACATTATCAAAGAGGAGACGGACGGAGGGGAGGGTTTAACAGATAGAAACTACTACATGCAGAACAGATGAGCAACAAGGGTTTACTGTCTAGCATGGGGGATTATGTTCAGTATAGTCTGTAATGGAATATAATCTTTAACAAAAAAGGTGAAGCACTGCGGTGCACCTGACAAAACACAGCATCTCATAGTTACGGTAAAACTTAAATGAGAAGGAAGCTCTGAGCACAGGGCCTGGCACATAATGTATGCTTCACAGAGGGTTTTGTGTTGAGGAGGAGGAGGACAGCGATGATGTGGTTGCTAGTGGTGCTGTGATGACGATGCTGGAGGTGACGGTGGCGGTGCGGGTGACGCTGATGATGTAGTGGTGGTGGTGCTGACGGTGCTGATGCTGATGGCCACTGCAGCCAAGAAGAAAAGACAGTCCATTCTTCCCATGCAGCAAGGCGGGGAGGAAAGCCGTGTTACAGAGCCTGGTCTGAGGGCTCTGAGGGGTGGGAGGTCTCACTGGCGTCAAGGGGAACAGGCTGACATCTGAGGGGCCCCATCTGGGATCTCCCAGCGCACGGTGTAAACAGCCTGGGCTTTCCTTCAGCTCCTGCTGCCTGTCCCCTTTCCCAGTTCTCCTTGCAGACAGAGGGGCCCTGTAGTGAGACAGGTGGGGCGTGCAGCCCTGAGGAATAGTGGAAAATCCGAAAGACCTGGAAAGATAAATAGGCTCATGCAGATAGTATAAAAGTCCTTTTTCTGAACTCACGTCAGGTAAACCTCAACTGACAGAAACTTGTACAACCACACCGAGACACTCCTACAGATGGATTAAATTAGCTCTCAAATAAACAGGGGAGGGATGGGCAGCAAACCCCTTGTGGGTCCAAACCCTGCTGTTTTCTACTACTTGAAGCGTTACCTAAATGCTCCTCCAACATCCCTGAATTTTGGCCGGGAACAGACTCTTAGACCCAGAGATGAAGGTCTGGTTAGAGTTTCCTGGAAGAAAGAGAGCAGGTGATCCCCTCCACTTCTGCAAGGAAGTGGCTGGGCGGGAAGGAGGGAGCACAGGAGTTCTCGCATTCTTTCACTTAGTCAGCGTGGGTTTGTTCGTGAAGCAAACACTCCTGAACCTGAGGGGAGACAGAGGTGTCTAACACCGGGTCATGCCGCAAGAACCTGCAGGAGTCAGTCCTGGGTTGACCACTTGCACATCATTTATCTCAGTGCATCATCACCATAAGCCTATGACACGTTCCGTACCCATTTCACAGATGCGAAAACCTAACCTCGGGGTAAACATTTCAAGTCAGAATCGCAGCCGTGTCTGTCCTGCCTCACTGCTCAGTCTTTCCCATACATCACCGTGTGTGTGTGTGTGTGTGTGTGTGTGTGTGTGTGTGTGTGTTAGGAGAAGGTACACAGTGTCAACAGAGGCAGGAGCAGGGGCTGAATGGTAGATTTCACACTGGGAGACAGCAGACCTTCAAGTTAGGTTGTTTGTCCAAGATCTTTCTTAATTCACTCTACGCTAAGCTGGTCCTCTAAACAAGACTGTGCCTGGCATTGTAAATGCTCTTCTGATGCTCTGGAAGAGAGGAAGACAAATAGAAAATAATCGTCCCTTGGTAAAATCCTCTCTATTTTGATAGATCTGTCCATTTATATCATGAATATTTACTGAGCATTGTCCATGCACCAGGCACCATTCTAGGCATGGAAGACCTCAGGGGGAACCAGAGGTGCTGTGGGCAGAGAAGGAAGGCACCCAACCCAGCCTTAGCCAGAGCTTGGAGTCATGTGACTCCCTTTGTTCCAAACTCACCAAGAAACCTAATTCCAGTTTTGCTCCCATATAGATCTGCCCTTAGGGAGAGCATGGGCTGGTCACATAGATTTTCCACCTTCTGGCCCATGTGACTATTCATTTCTTAATTAAAATTAACCAACTGGCACTAGGCCAGCAGAATGAGCCTCGATCATGTAGACTTCCTTGGCTGCTCCCCAACACAGTTACCTATCATTGCAAATCTAAGCACTGCCTCCAGGTTATTTTAATTTTTTTTTCTAAGAAATCATTGAAATCTAGCATGAGAAGTGAGGCATCTGTGGCACAAAAGGAACAGGAGCTTCTAGGAGTGTTATGTGAGCACCATTCCGGACAGTATTTCATCTTCCTTGTTTTTTTCTTTTTTCACCGACCTGAAAAAAAATTATCACGTTGGATTTTATATTACGAGCTGCCTTAAATCATGCCCAGAACAATTGCTTGGTTTCAAATCTTGGTTTCTTCACAGCTATGGAGCTTGGGGAATTTATTCTCCTTATGACACAAGATGAATGCCCAGCTCCCTGCATGGTGGTGAGAAATAAATAAGATAATGAATGAAGTAATTAGCACTACGAATGCACTCAATATATTGTAGTTGTCATTATAATAACAATAATTATTATTAAGGGAGGCTATAAGTAAGAACATATATGCATTCCTGTAAGCTCTGCCTGATGGGGGCTGGGAAAATCACGAAGGAAGGTCGTCTTGAACAGAAATGGAAAAGAAAAACTAAAGATTCTCTAGGTGACAAGATGAGCAGGGGCTTTCGGTGAAGGAGAGGAGCAAGGACAGAGTCACAGAGGTGGGAATGCACGGGCAACCCCAGGAATTGTGAGCTGGCTCCTATGGCCAGGCGGCAGCCCTTTCTGCCTTTTCAGGGTTCCCACCCAAAGGTTAGCCCACACGTCCTCAGCCCACTGCTCTCAAACCGTGGCGCATATCAGAATCATCTGGGAGGCTTGGTTGTAAAATGCAGAGCCCCAGGCCCTGGCCTCGGAGATTCAGATTCATTAGCTCCATGGCGGGGCTGAAGAATCTGCCTTTTCAGGGTGTTCCCTGCTCCCACGGCAATCATGATTAGACTGGTCCTCGGCACCGTTCTCCATCTGCCTGCTGCAGCCACACACGTGCACGTGCATGTACACACACACACACACTCCACCCTTCTTCCTTCCTCCCTCCTATTCCTCAGCTCTGTCCATGAGTCAAACAGCCAGGAATTTTCCAAAGGGCCTTTCTGATCATGTCTCTGTCCCACCAAATTCTGCGTCTCAGCTCTTATTCCTGCAGGGAAATAGAGTCATGACCCCTACGGTGAACATAGACATTATTTCAGTCTTATGGCCCGTGTTATTGCAAGGACCTGGGCAAGGCTCCATGTATATGCTAGGTGAGGTCAGGACTTGGAAGATCTAAGAAGAGGTGGGGTGGCTGAACGTGATGCCAATGAAGAGATGGCTCCCTCCCAGCCCCAGACCCATCTGACCTCTTTCTCTTTCTCTTTCTCTCTATAGAGAGTCGTCTGCACGGCTGGTCTCAAGTGGTATCCTCATCCAGCGCTGATCCACTGTATCAAAGGCTGTGAGGTGAGTTCCTAGAAATGGTCCTCCTGTGGTGACTATTATGTTAATCACGGCTACCGTCGACTGTACCAACCCAGGGCTATCAATATTCCTTTAACAGACTTCTTGGATGGGAATCAGCAGCCCCACTTTGGAGGTGGAACTGAGGCACAGAGATAACCACAGACACACTCAAATAGACAGGCAATAGCTGACAGAGGCGAGATTCCAAGCCAGGTGTTTCTGGCTGCAGACAGAATACTGCCTCTGGGAGGGAGGCCATACGGATGGAGTATCTCTACGACGCCAGGCATTTTACCTACATGACCACGGTTAACTTTTACAGAACCACCTGAGGCAGCTTGTGTTTTTTAAAATGTCTGCTTTCCTGATGCCTGTGAGTTGTAGATCACTTCCTCCTGCCGTACGTCCTTGTCATTCACTCGTTCATCAACTCCAGAAGGAATGTGGACACCTTCAGCCCAGCCACTGAGCTGAAGGTGGAAGACCCTCTCTGACCCTTTGATTCTCCGACTGTGCAGTTGAGCCGTTCCCTGGAACTTGGCATCCCAGAGCTCTGTCCCTCGGTACCAGAGACAGGCTTAGGGAGGGGCAGGGCCAGGGTACCCAGCATGTCACATGTGTTCACAAGGGGGTGCTGTCCATGAACTGAGAGACATGCTGTGCAGCCCTGTGCTCACGGTGGATCTTTTCAGCTGGCATGAAAAGAAAGCCCCAAACCCCATCCAGGTGGATGTCCAAATCTCTGTGGTCCCTGCCTCCAGAGCCCGTTCCAGGTGAAAAAGACTAGACTGTGCTCTAGGAAACTTTGTATTTGATGAAGTCTTAAAATGTCACAACCGGAATACTCCTCTAGATGACGGGGAGACTGAGCCCTAGCCAACGGTCAGCTCTAAAACCTGATGGGGTGCCAGACGGGAGCGGGTCTTGGTGTGATCTAACCCTACTCCTTATAGGCTGGAAAAGGGGGACCAGAGAGAGGATAGACCGGACTGCAGGTGCACAGCATAATAGACACAGAGCCAAAGCAGGAACCCAGGACTCCTGGCTTCCATGATTTCTCTCCTCCACTGGGCCACCTCCTGCCCGTGACCCTCCCCCTGACCTGTAAATGTCGTAGAACAGTCCCTGGGTCAGACATTTTTCTTCCCTCCGTAATGGTTAGGGACCGTCTTTCAGGGCACAAGTCACTATAGTGTTTAAGCACCCCCCCGTCCCAAGATTCAGCAGGAATGGCAAAACCAAAGCCGAGGACCCAGGGCAGTTGCTTCCTCCCATCGCTCTGGATCAGTCCAGCACTTCAGAAGAAGGAAGCTTGGATTACCTGGGCACTCATTCTGCTGAGGTGGCGGTCTGGGCAACCAGTGTGACAGCAGAATTCGATCCCTCCCTTGACTCAGCACTAAGACCTAAGAGACCCTCACCGGTCAGGCTCTGAGCCCTGCCAGTGATGCTTATCGCCCTTGCCCTTGCAGGTGCCCCCTTGTCTCCCTTCCTCCTAACTTAGAGCTAGTAGTTTGTCTCTTGTCTGAGGCTGGAAAGTATGCTCAGCAGGGGTGCAAATACTGGGTCCAGGGGGGAGCCAGCAGCCTGGAATGTCTGCAGGTAGCCAAGACTGAGAGGGGGTTGCGGGAGCCCTGAGCCCTGTGCCCTGTGCCCTCTGCTCCAAGCTGTGTCCAAAGGAGGCAATTGCTGTTGTTCATCGAAGGTTCACTGAGTGCATGTTGTGTGTCCAGCTCTCCTCGAGGTTCTGGTCTTGGGTGGAAACAGTGACCAGGCTTTCCCTGACTTACCCGGATGTCTTCTTGCTCCTCACCCACCCACCCGTCCACCCATCACTTTACTAGAAGATAAACATTTAAGGAAGATGTATTTGATAAAGTTGTGCTCAAATTGCCAGGCATTTTGCTAGGAAATTGAAGGAATGAAAATGGGTGGCATCTATTCCCTGTCCATAAGGAACCCCCAGGATAGTGAAACAGGTAGACAAAGAATTCTAAACAGATACACCAAAAGCTGTAACCAAGGCAGGTCCAAGAAGCTGCAGAAGTGCAGAGCATCCCGGGGGTTATAGGGAAGACCCTTTGTGGGGTGGTGTTTGAGTTAGATCTTGGAAGATGAATTGTTTGCCAGAACACACTATGAGTGGAAGGAGGAGCATGAGAGATACCAGAGACAGGAGAAGTCTCTAAGTTGCAGATTTTTCGCATGTTGTTGTCTTTCTCTAGAAATCCTCCCTTCTGCACCCCCATCTCATTAAGTCCTACTCATCTAGTGATCTCAGCTGAAATGCCATTTCCTCAGGGACTCCTTCACGGGGCTATCTGATTAGGTCAGATCCTCCTACTCTTAACTCTGACAGCATCGTGGACCTCTCCTCCATAGCTCTCCTCTGAGCTGCAGTTGGCCAATTAGATATGTGATGATTTGCAGAAAGTCTGCCTCCTCATTACAGTGGGGCGTCTAGAGGAGCAGGAGCTCAGTCTATACTGGCTCATGATTGCATCCTTTTTTCTTAGTGCCGAGTTTTTCAGTGTTTTTAGTAACACATAGTAGGCATTCAATAGATAGAGTTGAACAGAAGATGGAAGGATGGATGGATGGATGGGTGGGTGGGTGGATGGGTGGATAGA